CACGGTTTCCACACAGTGTGCTTCTGTGAGATGCAGACATGCTTCTATCTTTCGGGCTCCAGAGATGAGTAAGATAGATTCCTACCTGGCTGAGAAAACAGGTTCTTGGCAGTGCCTGAGACTGAGCAAGGGCGGGGGGAACGGGAAGGAGCCAGTCTGCAGATCAAGCATAGAAGCCCAGGACTCGTGCTGTAGTGCTCTCTGCTTGACCTGTGCCATAGAGGAGCACTGACTGGCCTTATTGGAGGTAGAAATACAGAGATGGAGAGATAGTTTTGTCCTAGTGGAAAGAAATAGCCCTTCCTCTTTAAATCCTGTAATTAGATGCAGGAACTTTTAAAGATTCTTCCTTGATTTTCAAGGCTCCCTTGCAGGAATAAAGCTAAGCCTGATTCCCAAAGCATCCTGTCTGCAAGATTTCTCCCGAAAATGCTGATGTGGGCTGTTCTTTTCCATTCCTATAATTCTTAACAGAAAAGAAGTTCGGCCTCATTTTCACCTTTGCAAACTTATCTTGACTTCCACAAGCGGCCAAGAGGAGCAATCCTGTAAATTAAAGGATTGCAATGTGTGAAATTTTCTGCCCCGCAAAGCCCAGCACAGCTGAGTATGAACATTCAGGAAGGAAACAGCCCATCTAATATCCCTGGCTTTCAGCCTCAAGTCTTGAACAAATCCGAGACTGGTTTGGGGCCGGAGTGTAATGCGTGGGCATCTGTGCTTTTCGTGTGTCATTTTGTTTCAGAGTAAGGCATCGGGATGGGTATCCCTCTAGTTTGAGGAGGCATGATAGGTGTGTTAGAAATGCACTCAGTCCAGGTTACCACAAAAACAAGAAAGGACTGACTATGGCGTAAGCAAAAGTACAGAGGCTTATTTGTCGTTCATAACAAGCAATCTTAGGATGGAGAGTCCAGGGCTGGTGTGCACCTTAACAAGGCCATGGGGGATCTGTGCTCTGTCTGCCTTCTGCTACATGGTCTCAGCAGAGCGGTCTCTGTGTGCCCTTGTTTCATTATGTAAAGGTATTTTTTTTTTTAATACCAGGAATCGAACTCAGGACCTTGCGCTTGCCAGGCAGGCGCTTGCCCTTGAGCTACATCCCTGGCCCTCTTGTTCCATTATGACTACCAGATGAGTGCAGGTTCCCGGGAGAGGAAGGAAGATGTAGGGAACAGCAGGCCTAAGCCATGGCAGCCGGTGACATCAGCCCTTTCTAAAGACCATGATGAAGCCAAATGAGTAAACCTGTGCAGCAGCTTCCATTTGTGTCTGGTCGGTGGGAACTCTGCTGGACACATGCCCTGGACACAGCTCTGTACCAGTCGCTGGAAGGTGGCTGGCGAGGAAGGATGTGGCTGGCAGGGGGTTCACCTAGCCCAACAAGACCCGCCCACAACAGGAAACACCATTTGATTCCACCAGTCCAGTGCAAAGTGCAAGAATTCTTTTGTCTTTGTTTAATTGCCCTCAAGGTTTTGTCTACTTAGCTCGTTATTTTATATAATTCTAATCCTGTTTCTTTCTTGTGATTCTGACACTTTCAAAGTCTGCTGTCATCCAGCAGCTCAGAGCCTTCTACTTCTGGGCTTTGTGTACTTCCTTTCTTTGGCCAAGTTCATGGTTACCTTTGTACCCACCTGAACGTTGGGTGCTGACAAGGTGTGTAAACACAGCACTTCCTTCTACTTCTGTAGAGGATGATGAGGACAGTAAACCATCTCAGAAGGGAGGAATTTACAAAATGCTGATGGAGCGGGAGTGGTGGTGCATGCCTGTAATCCCAGCCCCTGGGAGGGTGAGGCAGGAGTATCATTGCAAGGTCGAGACTAGCCTGAGCTACAAAGTGACTTTAAGGCCAGCTCGAACTGCATAGGGAGACCCTGCCTCAAAAGACCAAAAAGAAAGAAAGAAAGAAAGCTGATGGTAAAAATAATTGTAAATAATTTCAGAAGTGTCAGGGTGGGGAGATGCGGAGCGTGGCAGAAGCCCATGCTTTCTGTGGTTCCCGGTCACTTACAGATCAGCTGTGGCCTTGCAACCTTGCGACCGTGCTCTGTGATCTTGCTCACATTTCCTCTCAGGACACCCAGTAGGTGTGGTGCCTTTTCAAGGCAAAAACAATTTAAATGATGCCTTCTTCCTCTGAGAAGGTACTAGAAAGAGCTTTTACCCCCGAAGGTAAAAGCAATGCTTTCTTGTCACAGAAAAAAACACTTTGGAAAACCTTTTTTGCCTACTTTTTGCCTCCTTAAAACACCATGGAAATGATGACTAAGTCCATGCCTGCGTGGTTGACCACCACTTTTGTTCTATGCTGGTTTCTTTTACTTTGCCAGTATTTCTAAATACTGATACATATATTTTTGAGATCGCACCTTATGTGTTCTAATGTATAGATACAATTAAGGTTTTATATCTTAATATTACAATGCAGCTGCCTAATAACTGAAAGTTGACAATTTGTAAATAAATAAGCAAATTTTATTCAAAATTGCAAATACTTTCCCAATGTTAGGGTAATAGAAAGATAAGCCGACCGTGTATTGGTAAAGAGGTTTAAAAGCCTGTCTAGGCTGATTGCTCATTGAATGTTACTGCCCATTTCCTCTTCCGCTGAAAAGAAATAATCATTGCCACCGTACGGAGTCACTGTGGGGCTGGACCTAAGGAAGGTGCAGTGGAAATCGTACTAGGCTTAGGATTTAGCCCACACTCAGTAAATGACGGGCCCCATTACTAATAATTATAAACAAGTTGTGGCATTTGTCATTTTTCTTTGACAGGGTCTCACCATGCAGTTCAGACTGGCCTTGCCCTCACTTTGTAGCCCAGGCTGGCCTTACACTCATAGTGATCCTGCTGCTTCAGCCTCCTGAGTGCTGGAATGACAGGCCCCCACTCCTGGCCTTGTCATTTTTTAAAAATTTTATTTTAAAGAGAATAAAGTCAAGCAAAATAAAACAGAATAAAGCCAATCAAAACAAGACAGTGTAAGTGACACAGGATTTCAAAACAAGGTAATAGGAAATCAACCATGGTCACCATAATGCCTCTTCTTGTCTTCAAAATGGCTGCCCATACCTTCAGCCACAGTAAAATCAAACAAAACAGAAACAGAAGAGGACCAATAAAAACAAAACAACAAATGCAATACAGGACTTCAAAACACGATAATAGTAAATCCAAAATGGCTAACAGTATATCCTGTTATCTTCAAAATAGCTGCCCAGGCATGCCATCAGATACAACAAAATCAAATAAGATAAAACAATAAAAGCCAACCAAACAAAACAATGAGAATGATGCAGGATTTTGAAACAAGATAACAGAGTTAATTATGGCCACCACCTTCAGAAGGAGAGCCCCACTTTATGCTACATTGTGTACTGTTATCCTCTGAACAGATGGTCAGACTGCCTGCTTAGGTCTCCAAAGTCAGTGAGACACCAGACACCACAAGCGTGAAGTTGTATTTTACCTCATTTGCTATCATCACAGCCTGTGATTCTGCAGATCAGCTGGTCACTTATGGGGCGGGGCTGGGGTGGGGGACACATTGGCTCTTCTTGTCTGCCAGGCTGTGCTCTGGAAGGGACTGGCAGCTGGCTCTCCCCCAGTCAGCCCTGTCATGGCGTCAGCTCACAGGTCTTAGCTTCTTGTTGACTTCTCATTTCTTAACTGAATTTGCAAGCCAAGGGGTACTGATTATGACTTTGTGTTTTCTTTTATTGAACATCAAAAGCAGAAGTCAGGATGTTTTTCTCTATTCATTGTACAAGTATAAAATCTTTTAAAACGTTAATCAGTAACTACTTACTGTGGGAAAAGCTTCTTAGCTTCGTATAGCCTTCAGTCTAAGTCCTTTGCAACCCCATATTGGGGCAGTGTTCCATTTTTAAGTAGCATCTCAGTCTCTACAAGAAGCAAATAATAGTATTCTTTCTTTTGGTGACTCCACAAAAAATAGTTAAGAAATAGTACTATGCATCAAAGATTTCACAAAGTATTACATTAGCTACGCCCTCTGATTCCCTGATGTTACCATTTAACGGTGGGGCTGGGCCTGCTTCAGAATGACAGAATCAGGTGCTGGAGTAGACAAACCGTAGTGCAACTGAGCCTCAGAAAATTTACATCCACCAATGTAGGTAACTATGGTACAGATGTACCCACATGTTACTCTTCCCTGACAAATTACAAATTCTTTGAGAAATTCTCTGTAAACAGAATATTTTTTTACCTTCCTTCAAATAATTTACAGTTATAATTATGTAAGACTCCATTGGGACATGTAAAACATCTAAATTTTACTGATGTAGGGTACAACACTTAAAACCACATTAGATGTTATTAGTAATTAATGCATGAGCATTAAAAACTCTTCGGAAAGTAAGAAAAACACAAATGAAATTTATAAACTTTTGAATTTCCCGCCATTAAAGATAGCCATGATAAAGATTCTGGGCAGTTTTCTTTGTGCATCATTTCATGCATATTTTTAACATTTATTTCATAATATACATTTTAATCCATTTATATCATCTTCCTGAATGTGTGAACATGAATGATATTCTACAAGGTAGCTGTGCCACCCTCCTTAAGCCTTTCATTCCTCCCTTTTTGACAGTGAGATTGCTAACAATTACTACTATAAATAATCCTATCATATTCATCATGTTTATAAAATTGCCTCTGAATTTAGAATTATTTCCTTACAGTAGATTCCAAGAGGTGAGATTAATGAGGGTAATAAAAGAATATCCAATTTCAGATACATTTGGTGACTGTAGGTATTAACTTTTTTAAAGTTATTTCTTTAGTAAACTGTTTTAAATCCCATTCATTACATTGGCTGAAATCCATTCTACAATTTGGCAAGGTTTAAATAATTTAGTGCCAGGAAACTATTTTAGCATTTGGTACAAAGTGAAGATCCTCGTGTCTCCCCGATGTGCTGCTGTATGGAATTGCCTGATCTCCTCCGCTGTGTCTTTCAGTTTCACAGGAGACTCTAAACTGGCCTCCAGCATGCGCTATGTGGAAACACAGTCCATGCAGGTAGGGGCGTCCTACATGATTCAGTTCAGTTTGGTGATGGGATGTGGCCGGAAGTACACGCCACACGTGGACAACCAGGTGACACTGGAGTACTCGACCAACCACGGCCTCACCTGGCACCTTGTGCAGGAAGTAAGTATATTGTCTCTAACGCCTGTGATCGGTAACTTCTTCCTTTTTACATAAAGCAATCGCAACTTGAACGTTGAGGTTTGGCTGAAACGAAACATGTTATTTGGAACTGAAAACTGAAGAAAGAAAATTAACTGACATAAAGGATTGCGTAGATACCGCCTCCTTCACTGTTAGCTGTGAAAGGGGTATTTAGAAATTGAAACATAAGTAGCTCTGTATCAGTTGTGCTTCCTAGAGAAACAGATTTAATGCAAGTTACACAAATATGTAAGAATATACAAGGCAGGCTGAAGTGACTGCCCGGGGTCAGACGTGCGAGAGTGTAAAAGGGCCATGTGTGCGCTGGAGACCCGAGGGTCCGGGTGAAGGCCTGAGCCCACTGCGCTGTCCCGTGAGAGGCCAGATCAGAAGGGTGAAGGGTCTGCACTAAAAGCCAGGAGGCGACGTCCAAGGAGAAGGTGAAGACTGGCGCTCCTCGGCCTTCTATTTGGGCAGCAAGCCTGTTGGCTGGTGCCACTCACACCCAGGGTGGCTCTTCTGTCTGCAGTAAGGGCCTTCAGCCACACCCTGGGCTATGCTGATCTAGTTTAGTTGGGTGTTTCTTACTCACATTGACACAGTCAGTGACTCATCACAGGTAATAATCTCAGTACTAAAGACTTCTATTCCTCTTTCCCTACAGTGTCTTCATCTTTTCCCTTTCTAGGTCTCTTTACCAGTAGACAGACTATAAAGAACACGCTATCTCTTGACTTTAGATACAAACAGAAATAGAGATCCAGTCTCTTGGAATAAAGCTTACTTTTTCATGTATACACTAATAATCTGGCAATGCTATAAATGCATTGCTGTAACTGCATTAACAGAATAATTTTACCAAATTCTAATATTATAGCAGGTCACAGTGAATACTAACCCATTTCTGTTTGCACATGTAAGAACTGATAGATTTCTAATTCCATTATGGCTTCTCATCTGCAGTTATGTCCCACTTGTTCTAACTTTGCTGAAGGAGAAGTCATGGGTTGCATCCATAGCACCCATGGTCAGGATTATCGCGTTACATTTCCCTGAGGTCTTTTGCACTTATGGTGAGTGGGCCAACCTATTTTTCTTGGGCAAACAAAGCTGAGTTTGATTTTTTGCTTCTCTTTCAGGAATGCCTTCCAAGTATGCCCAGTTGCCAGGAATTTACATCAGCAAGTATTTACCATGCCAGTGAGTTCACACAGTGGAGAAGAGTCATAGTACCCCTCCCGCAGAAGACCTGGTGAGAGATGACGTCTTTAGATACAGTTCTTACTTTAACCTTTACTGTCTCTCCATCTCTGTTAGGATAACTTGCATGTGAAGATCAGTTAAGAACTGTGGCGAGATAGTGACTCTTAGGTTTGCACCATCCAAAGGCCCATATTTTTCTTTCACATTAAGTATATTTGAAAAATAGAGCTAAGAGAAAATATGAAAGTTAGATTTCCCCTGTCCTAGCTTCTCCTGAACACCCTACACCCAACTTTTCTCTCTATAGGAGAACTTAATGGGCCATCTCCTTTAGGAAAAAGGAGAATGATAAAGAATCTACAAATTCAGGTATTCTGGATTGCCAGTTTGTCTTCTTGCTAAAAAAAAAAAAGTGCTGCTTTTTATATCAAAAACTTAACATGCTTTTTTGTCTAGTTGATTTTTTCAATAACAATAATAATCATTCACCCAGAAGCAGAGGCCTCAATAAACACTTGATAATGTGAAAGAAGATGGGGGAAAGCATAATTGATTTTTTGAGTATATTCCGTCGTTTCTGGTCAACAAAAACAACCCAACATTAGGAAATGGAATTCTAGAACTAAGTATGATGGAGAGAATTTAAATCCCAGAGTCAGGGTGAGCTCATTCAAAGAAAAAGCTGTAAGCTGGAAATTAGAAGGCCTGAATCCTCCACCACTCTTTAATTAACCACATGATCTTTACTATGGACAACCTTTTCAAGGCCAATTCTTTATGAACCTACTGAAATGTTTTAATTAGATAATCTTAAAGGTCTCCCGCAGCCCTGGAATTTTAAGATTCTATGTGTATAGAAGAAAACACATAAAAGAGACATACTTTTCTGTGATATCTGCCTTGCAGTTCTCTTAAGGACAAAATTACTAAATGAACTCTCCTCAGATTATTTTATGTGAATTTGGCACTACCGAAAAACAATTCATTAGATAACAACCTAGAATAATTCTTACACTTTGGTTGAAGATTGAATTACTGTACTATGGGAGAATGGAATCCTGATTATTTTAAAGGATATGTCATTATAGCAGTTGAAATTTTGATTCCCAGTTTTTTTATATCCAGCTATAAGCCATTGCTAAATATTCTATTGATGCTTTATATAACAACTTTTTATACTTTATACAACATCCTGCTTGTTTATGTCTGCTGCTGAGATATAATCAAGACTTTAATTTCAGTGACATTTCCAGCATATACAGCAATAAAGGTTTATACAAAATGACATAGCAAACAAATAAAATACTGGTCATACTAGGTGCAAAGTTACTGAGGGATGTTTTTCAATATTTTATAATTAACTACATTTCTTTCATTCTTAAAAAAAGACAGTTGAAAAGTTGAACCTGGTGGCACACACCTGGTAGTCCTGTGGTCCCACCTTCTCGGGAAGCCACTTGTACCCATGATCCCTTGGGCCTGGAAGCTGGAGACCCTGTCAATCAATCAGTCAGTTGAACAAAAGAGGCTAAAAAATTAGAATCACTGATGTTATTTATTAATGTGTGATACGATTTCAAAATTATGGTAAAATAATATTGGTAAATGCTTTAGAGATGTCTTTTCATCCCATAGAAACCTTATTAACTATTTCCTTGGATGTTGTAGTATAATGAATATCCAAAAAAGTATTCCTCTTATTACAAAACGGTGTGCAAGTTATTCTACTCCCTGTTACATGTTACACTACCAGGCCTTAGCTGAAATCATGACACAGCTACCAAGTTGAAAGTTTTCATGTGGTTAGAAAAGATTAATTCTCATCAGTGTTAATTGCTTAAAAGAAATACATGGACCCTTAAGCTCTAGATCGAACAGTGAGTGTCTGCAGTCATGCTCACTGAACGCTGGGGAAATAAACACAGCTTTAATTCAATGTGTCTCATGAGCTAAATCAATATGTCTCATTTTGCAAACAAAAAAATCTCATTCTTTCAAGTATTTGCTTTTAGTTCCATGTAATAAATAATGTAATTTTGTTTCTCCCAATTTCCTTCAAAACCCTAGAAAAAGAAAGAGACTATTTTTAAAAACACAGCCCACTGGAATAATTCCTTTAGCATCTCTACTGACTAATACTTACACTATGCTACAATTTAAAAAGTAACGTTCAGTTAGTCCTTACTATCTGTAACCAGTTTGGGGGTCCAGAATGCTTAGTTCTTCTAGCTTTACTCTCCTTGGCTTTCTTAATCACTTTACTGCTGTATGTTCATTTCAGACTTTCAGAAGTAGCATTCCGTTGAAGGACAGGAGCACACTTCAATTTAAGGAATATTGCTTCTTTGACCAAATCTTTGTTCTGCTGTTTTGATTCAAACGTATGCAAATATGATCTGAAAGCATAAAAGCTAACACAGTCCTTGCATTATCAAAGACCTGTTACCTTTGGAAAGTGCTAGATGGAATGACCTAGATGGAAATTTCGAATGTATACACCTGTTCAGAGTATCCCAACTGAACATTTGTTACCCAGTGAAGATTAATTTTGTTTTTGGGAGAGACATTTACATAAGAACAGGGCCTAATGAGACCCCAACAGCTGTCAGTTTCTGACTTCATAAGCAAATCAACACCTAATGACTGAATGAGTTTCAGAATAATTGGGTAAATGCAATTACAGGAACTCTAAAAGTGGAAAATACGATTTACTCAGGCTTCATTTACCTTGATTCCTCGGATTACCTATCAGGAGATGCCTCGTTGCCATTTTATTTCAGCCTTGAAGTTTATATGAGGAAGAAATCAAATAAAGACTCAAATTTTGTTGCTTTGGGGAATCCATAGAGTTTAGGTTTTAAATACAAATCAACCTCATTTCACAACCTACACAGCAGTTCTTTCTGGTTTCGTTCAAAATGTGCAAGATCTTCTTAGATTACTTAGTTGAGAGAGAGAAAGGCAAATTAAATATTTATATCAAGGGTGATGTTTAGCAAGGGTGCAGCGGCACATCAGCGAGATCACACCTTGATTTCCCACGTGTGGCCACCTGGAGACTGCTCACACGACTCATTTTCTCTTTTCTCACCAAAAATTAAGACAATCTTCAACCTGTTTCCCCTCCTTTTGCTCTTTAAGTAACATCAGCACGCTAAGTGGCAGGTTGTGATTAAATGGAATGGCCCACTTTCAGCTTTTTATCTTAAGAAAACACCTTTTTCCAAGAGATCATAACGAGGGTTTATTTACTTAGGAAAAGTTGGATGGTGTCTGCCCCGGACTGTTACAAGCACAAGGAAACTGGGAAGGCAGAAGCACAGGTTTCTGAATTCCTGCCCCATTTTAATACCGGAAGTAACAAAACCTCTAAATAATGCTCGCCTCGGGCTTTATAAAGGGCTCTAACTATAAAGAAAGTGAGCTGTCACCGTGGTCAGCACACCACCAGAAGAATTGTTAGACTGGGGAGCTGGAAGGGATCTTAGACATTAGTTTACCCAAACCCTCTCTCTGAGAGGTGGGGAGCCGGCAGCCCTGGAAGGCTTGATTTCTCACTAAAGGTCACAGGGTTGATAAATGGTACACCTGGTACACTCCGCAGCCGCCACCCTAGGAGGTGAGAAACAGGCTGCCCTTTCCTGGCCTGCTTTTCTGCTCCCTGACTCATTTCTCTTAGAGCACTCACTTTATCCTTTTCCTCGTAAACTATGAAGACAAAGACACAGCATCTCTATCCCCAGAAGAGCTCGCTGTGTATCACCAGTGGCCCTGGACCTGACAGGGGTTGTAACTAATCTTTTAAAAGTGGGGCCAACTCTTCCTTTCATGATGAAAATGGTGTCTATTCCTTATGTACTTCTATTCTGTAAGGCTCTGTGTTCTAAGGCAATGTGCCTACTTCTATGATAGGCTCTTCTAAAACCCACTGCTTAATGGGACTGTAAAATTGTGGTGGCCATTTAATCACAAACATAAACCTCTTATCATAGAGGAAGGGACTGTATCTGTCCCTTTGTATGTCGCCTGATGAGCCCAGATCTGTAAGCAAACCCACAGACTGCTTGTATGAAACCTGGAATTACCCTACTAGAGTAATAGGTTGAAAACACAAACTATTAACAGCTGATCATTGGTAAAATTAACACTAAAAGCATGGTCTGGATTTTAACTCTCTATTATGTACTTAGAGAGTACTTAATATGTGTCATTGGTGCAGAAGACTTTAATGGATCATTTGAGCCATTAAGATTAAATATGTCTAGATAGTATGTTTGGAGTGGTTTAATCAATGGAACTGAGTTCCCACAGGAATTCTGCAAATTCTCTTTGTGTGGGGCTGGGGATTTAGCTCAGCAGTATAAGCACCTGCCTGGCAAGCATGAGGTCATGAGTTCGATCCCCAGTACAGAAAAAAATTCTCTTTTGTATTATTTTGTTTAATCACAGTCCCTGTGATTAAATTCCTAAAAGTGAAAAATATGCCATCATTTTAAAAGAATGTTAAAAAGCAGTGAGCAACTGGCAGTCTGCTTGACATTACTCCCCAGATATCCTCCTCTTCAGACTGTGCCTGGTTTCACTGAATTAAGGTCCCAAATGTTTGTGTGTGTGCACCATTTACCCCTTTCATACCCACTTAAGATCCACTTGTCCATGTAACTCAAGCAAGTTAATATTTCAGAAACAAACAGAACTTAACTTCCTGATGTTCTCACTTATACCATAGTACAATACCATCTATCCCTTCAACCCTAAAACAATACTCCCCAAAATGTATTCTTTCGTATTAAGCACAAATTGCAAGTTTTCTGTTAACTACTGATATGCTCATTGTAAGAAATTGTATTACTCTTAGGTAAACATCTTACATTTTCAACTATGAAAAACAGGCTCCATTTAGTTGGTATCTTTATTTTTTTAAATGTTCCTGCTTCCTTTTTCTAGCCTCAAATCTACTGATTTGAGTAAGAACCAAAAGTACTGATAATTTATTTTTTATGATGTCTCCAATCAACTAAGCTCAAACTGGATCAAACAGAGGCAGATCTCTTTTTAACCTTCCTCGTGATAGAAGTATTGAACTGTACATGATGAAGTGGAAATTAAACTAAATAGAAACGATGGCCAGCTAAATACAGGTTCCGGAGAGTTAGTTCTCTCAAAGATGCTGAACTCTGGCGTTCTTTGTCTCTAGCACCATGCGACACACTTTGTATCCCTGTTCCTCTCGTCTAGGTCCAGTGCCACCCGCTTCCGCTGGAGCCAGAGCTACTACACCGCACAGGATGAGTGGGCATTAGACAGCATTTACATCGGGCAGCAGTGCCCCAACATGTGCAGCGGCCACGGCTCCTGCGACCACGGCATGTGCAGGTCTGTGCTCCCCAAGGGCAGTCTGTCCCCTGCCTCAGGATTTGTGTCTCTGGTCCTGTCACAGTGCCTGTCATCAGTCAGGCGGTGAGATGATGCTAAGTGATGTAGCCAAAAGACAGTGCACTGCCTTGTGTTCCCACTTTGAATGTCTAAGACATTGTCACATTTAAATAAATATCAAGCCACATACTGTAAACCTCAAGACGAGACCTCCTGGGTTTCAGTTTCAAAGTTTATTTTTTAAAAATCCTTGCTATTGTTTCCCATTTCTCTGTGGATACTCAAAATTCTCCTGCACCATTTTACCAGAAGCTCGCCGCTGTACACACAGGCAGAGGCGGTTACCGCTGGCACATGCGATGGGCAGGCAAATGTGCAGAGGTCACTTTTTCAGGCTGCGGGGAGATCCCGCTATCCCTTGCTCCCCATGAGCACACACGCCTGCATCCTGCCTCCTGGATGCCGGCCTTCTTCCTTTATGTCACTGTACCTACTAAGGAAGGGTTCTGTCCACTTAGGACGTGTGAAAAACTGCAGATTGTTGGTACCACATTATAGACACAGATTCATTGTGGAGAAAGTTCTGCAGCGACTGACGAGAGCTGGGGGAAAGCAGGACGTGTGCGATGTCCCAGCCTGGACAGCCACAGCCTTGCCAGCGGGTTCCTAATGGGGGCCCTCGGCCTTGCTGTCTCGTAGGTGTGACCAGGGATACCAAGGAACTGAATGCCTCCCCGAAGCTGTGCTTCCCTCCACGATTATGTCGGATTTTGAGAACCAGAATGGTTGGGAGTCCGACTGGCAAGAAGTTATTGGGGGAGAAATCGTAAAGCCTGAACAAGGATGTGGGGTCATCTCTTCGGGATCATCTCTGTACTTCAGCAAGGTATGACCCAGAGCCGGCCGGAAGTCAGGACAGTGGTCAGTGTGATGTGTGCCATCCACAGGACAGCCGTGAGTCCCTGGTCCAGAAGGCAGGGTTCGACTGTTCCTCATATTCCCTGATCTTGATCAGGCTTTGTCATGTGCATCCTTCCCTACATCTCGGCAACTCTTACACTGTTCTTTTTGGGTTTTTGGGTTTACACAAATCCACATTAGACCAGCTTAAAATTCCTACCCCTCTTAATGCTGATTTAAAACTCGCTGCTTGCTTCCCTCCAGAGGCTGGTAGGCTTGTGTCCTGAGGCCTGAGTGGGCTGGCACCCGCTCTCTTCTCATCCTGGCTTTTGGAAAGCTAGAAACAAGCAGACCCGGGATGAGCAAAGAGCAGGGAGGGACTGGTGAATTCGGGCGTTAAGGACAGCAATTCTGGAGCCAGGCCACATAGTCCAGTACCCCTTCTTAGCTCTGTAACGTTGAGCACGTTACTTAATCTTCTTATAACTTAGTGGTATCAGCTGTAAAGGGGGGGGACAATAAGAGAATCCTGAGGGTTGTTATGTAGAATACATGAGTTAGCATTTGTCGGTCATGTAGAACAGTCCCTGACATCCAGAAGGTGCTTCCATACGTATTTATTAAATTTGTCGATCCCTTAGTCTCAGGACAGGACTGAAGGGTGGAGGAATAATAAGAATGGAGGTGTTCAGGGCACTGACCAGCTTTCCATGGACTGCAGTCATCTCAGGTCCATGTGACTCTGACTGGTGACTGCAGGTGGCATTTGCCGGTGTACGGAACTCTACATGAAAGTTTTCACTGTAGCATTCAGCTTACTAACTGGGACTGACATGCCCAGCAGAACCACAGAGACCCACTCTTTGAAACACCCTCAACTCCTGTTGCTTGGGTAGGGCAGGAGAGAGGCGGGCACCTCGCTCTCCTCTTTCCTACAGCGTAAGCAGGACATTCTTTTCCATTCTGTTCCAGTGTATCTCCTTCTTTAGTCTCCAGAAGGACTACAGGGAGCTCCCGTCTTCAACCTGAGCAACGTGTCTACCCTGAATTACTGGCAGCTCTTTTAAAATGTGGAGGGATTAACACTTCTTTCCTTTTGTTTTTTTTTTTTGTTTTGTTTTGTTTTGTTTTGTTTTCTGTTTTTTCTTGGTACTGGGAATGATCTTGTGCTTACCAGGCAGGTGCTACTGAGCTAAATCCTCCACCCCTGACACCATTTTTTTGCAAAAAGGACTACAGCCACTGATTCTGGTAGAGCGGAAATGTCCCACCTTACATCATGTAACAAGTAGACAAATGTGGGCGGCATACCATAGGGACGATATATTGCGGAGTCTGTTTGGACAGAATTCTAATAAAAGTTAATTTATGCAAGTACAAAAATAGGTACAGGTTTTGTTTTGATGCAGGTGCATAATAAGGAATCAGCAAGCAAACAAGACAAACAATAATAGAAAATCAGATTGGATTCCATTTACTGGTTTTTCCTGTCTACTGACATTGAAGGCCCCGTGATGATTACTGTTAAAGATGGAGTCAATACATGATCAATATACATTACATAAACCTGGGTATGCTGTGTAGCTGTGCAGCCTTAAGTATCGGCTTTCACTAATAAAGGACCAAACACCCCAATAAACGTATGTTTACATGCATGCACACAGATTGTAAATATGTTAAGGGTCTGGGTTCTGTGTCAATATTCCTTTCACTTAATTCAAGACGGTCTCTGGAGTCAGACTCCCTGGGTTTTGTATCCATACTGCAAAACTCATTGATTGGTTCATCTGACAACGACATAACATCTCTCTGTGTGTCTGTTTTCTTGTCTGTAAAGTGGGACGTTGAGTTAATGCAGGTAAAGAACCAAGAATAATGTTGGGTTCCTAGAGGGAGCACAGTAAGTGCCAGTGTCATAATTCTATTTTATGAAAGTAAATTTCAAACTGGTATTACTGAAAAAAAAAAAACATATATATATATCCTACCATTAATTTAAAATCACTATTTCAAAGTGAATTTATTCAGATCTGTTTAGTTCTAAGTAGGGGAAGCTACTTTCAGGGAAGGAAGGAAATTGGATCTATGCAATAAAACCTCAAGGCAGGTTTGAATAGAATTGGCCTCGGAGATCTCAGCACCGGGGAATGCCCACAGAACTTTCTCCAGGAGGGCAGACCGTGTCTGCTGTCACCGTGAGAGCAGACCCACAGCCACAGAGCCTTAAAGGAACTTTAGAGGGAAAAGAAAAAACAGAGAAGTTTCACTTTAGCCATCTCAGCGACTCGGAACAATGCACAGTTTGGGAGAGAGGTATCACCAGCAAGCATTCCTGTGTGAACAGGCAGTAACCACAAAGGCTTTCACTCACCGCTCTAAATTAACTGATCCACAAACATGCTTCCATCCTATCTATCCCTTGTCTTTCGCAAATGTTCATGATGGTCTCCAATATTTCTGTATTCCTGCATAACTTGTATTCGTTTTTGCAAACATCAGTCCTCTGCTCCACCAAGGAGCTCTCCTGGTCCTCCTCACCCACGATCCTAGCAGCTTCCCCCTGCCCCCCGTCCCCTTTCTGATCCCCCGTCTTCTCTGCTGTCACAGGAGCCTTTCAGCTGTGTCTGCGAAGCTTTCAGGAGCCAGAGCAAGGGATACTCGTATCTCTGCTCATAGACTTCCTCTCCCTTTTGTAGATATACTGATTGAATTTTATGTGATCCTTACAGTACCTGGCAAAAAGCTGAATTCTAGATAAACTGATCAGCCTTAAAATGCATGCCATGCACTAGGCATTTATGTATCAATAAATACTCAATACTAAATGGGTTGAGGAGTTAATAAGTGATCATATTACCAAAGGGGGTCTAAGAAGTAACTGAGACTTGGTCGGCACCGCGTACATGCATTACTACCTTTGCCACAAGTCTGTGAATCCCCTTCACGATTGTTTTTATGACACAAGGTCTTTTGCGTGGTGCAATTAATTGCAGAAGAAATGAATGAATGAGTAAATGAAATTAAGAAAATTGGAAAGCAAAAAGAATTCTAAAGCAATGACTACTTTCAAATATAATGGAATTCTTTGTAGTGGCATTTCAATTAAAGAGAACTTAATTTTCTTGGAGGTTTTGCTGCTGTAAATTTCTAAATCCTGAAAGCATTCCTATTAAATTTGCTTTAATTTTACTAAATTACTGAAGTAGTAAACCACTTTGACCTAGAGCTTGAGGGTAAGTTATGGGTAATTTTCACACTCCAGTAATGAGGAGATACTTAACTTGTTATTCCAACACACACATACACACACACATTACACACGTAAATCCATTGACTGTAGTGTCACAGGGAAACCAAAGCATCTGTGACATCAAATTCTAAATTCTGACAGAAACTTTGTCATGAGCCATTTCCCTCCTTTAAAACAATGTTCAGCATTTCCGGTCACCAGACAAAAGAAAATGATTTGTGCTCTTCTCTAGGAAGAAAACACTTTCTGTGCCAAACTAAGCATTTGTGTGGTGATTTCCACCATTCACAAAAATCCCTCAAAACACTTTGCAAACCTCTGCCTTAGAAAAAGAAGCCTGTACTGTGCCTTTCACAGTGAAACCATCATTCCAAACAGCTAATCGTGATCACTGGATTTTCAGAACTCTACTCATGTTAGAGCTTTATCTTTCTGGCACATACCAAATTTTTCATAGACTTTGCTAGATTCAGATTAACCTGGTAATCTAAAAATCCTTTCTCCCACAATGAGCTGGAGGCATGAAAATACAAAGATCCCTCTAGCGTCTCTGACTTGTGATATTTAAAATCAACAATCAAAAATGAAAGCGCTTAGAACAAGTTGAATATTCACATTACTTACAAAATTTCCTCAAATACATAGTTAATATTGAAACTTTTGAAGAATGTGTTCCATTTTAGAATTAAAAACTTGAGTTCACATTTTTGTGAGCATGCTTGTTTACTTTGGAATCTCTTAATTGGCTTTTGTGTCTATTAATAGCAATGTGCTCTTTTAATTAGCTCCAAATATTCTCCCTATGACGTCTAATAACTGAAACCCTTTCTTAATGAACTTATCAGGTTAGAGTAGGGTTCACATTATAAATATGAGGGTCTGCTACGCTGTATACATTGTGTCAGTTTTCCTTGCCAACTTTTAATTGAACTCCTTGTGAGCTCTCTGAGATCAACTCAGAAAAGTCCATGGGTTTGCCGTGGATGAATATGTTTAGGTGGAAGAGTCCCTTAAGCAAATGTTCTTTCGATCCCTTTAGCGTGGAACCATTTACACACAACCAGAATGATGACTACCTTAACGATGTGTATCTAACCCCTCATACAGCAGGAAGTATCCAAGTAAAGGAAGCGAGTTACAGGGTTGAAAAGAGTTAACACTCCCAAGACATAAAGAGACTGGTGGTTGTGGAGGGTTTATGACAATGACCCCTCACAACTTCTCAACTAGAGAATAAGAGATGGACAGGTGACCCAGGAACAGGAGAGATGAAATACTCTCACTGTGTCCAGAAGTTCCCTCGTCCCCTGTTTAACTTTAATCCCCACGGGAGAGGAGGGCTCTACAGGCAGGTGTGGTGTAGTGTGCTACCCTAACCTATCACATATTATTTCACTAACCAACACAAGGCCCGAAGAGGAAGGTGTTACTACACATATTGTATCTTTGAGGAAAATAAAAGCTTAGAAAGGTCCCACAACCAGCCAACAGTATACGGATAATGGGCTGAGATTCAGAAACACCTCGAGCTGACTTCAAAGTATAAGGTCTTTCTTCTCCATTACTCTGCCTCGAGGAGATTTACAAAGCGAAGATTGAGAATGTTTTCACTAAGATTAATTTTGCTTTTAAAAAAAAACTTTTTCAAGTGAGAAATTCTCATGGGGTCACATAACTAAATCATGAAAATCAGTGAAGGAAAGACTGAGCCAAGGAACGGTGACCATATCCAGAGCAGAAATTGAAGTGGCTCAGCTGTCCCCCCTAACCCTAACACCACTTGCTCGTGCCTCTGTGTGGTGTCAGGATGCTCATGTGAACTTGAAACTGAAGAGCAGAATGCCCAAGAGCTTGCAGGGGACTGATGCCGCTTTTGCTGTCCTTCTTTGGAAAGGCTGGGAAGAGGCAGTTGGTGAGCTGGGATCTGGATACTTCCTGGGTGGACTTCGTGCAGTTCTACATCCAGATAGGAGGAGACAGTGCAGCGTGCAACAAGCCGGACAGCAGGGAGGAGGGCGTCCTCCTTCAGTACAGCAACAACGGGGGCATCCAGTGGCACCTGCTGGTGGAGATGTACTTCTCAGACTTCGACAAACCCAGGTAACCTCCCACCGGGGCGTCTGCCGTGGTTTCCGGGAACGGGAAAGATTATGTTGTTGTTGAGCTGCTCCTAAAATGTTGACAGTTGCAAAAATAGACAAACTCATAAATATTTAACATGAAATAGCCCAGCATATAAAGATTTCATTTCATTTAAGTGATTGGACAGAAATCATTTGCAATCTGTGTTTGAATTTTTTAAAATTTTGGAGGAAAAGCAACTTTGACTAGCAGAAAAACAAGGTTGATTGGCTCCTGCTTCCCCAAAGAAATTCTGTGATGCAAAGTTGGTCCAAGCACAGTTTTCTATTTGCAGATTTGTTTTTGTTTTTGTATAAAGAGAGCATGTTCTGCTGTTAGATTTAACAGCAAGACGGACTTTTTGGTTGTTGTTAAAAGTTCTTACATGGCTATGCCTAAATCTGATCTGAAAAAGTAGATAAATCTCTAGACATCAGATATCTAAAATTTTTCATTGGCTTATCCCCATCTTTATTTTGATAGATGAAGAATACACATACTAAAATGTTCTGTGCAACTACTGAGGTATTTGGAGAAATGATTCATGCTTAATGCTAACATATTAGTAGGCAATCAGTATATTTGTGTGTATTTAAATTTAGTTATTTGAAATTATGTAGCATTTTGAAATTTGGTTTTTATTTTTATATAAATTACATTAAATTACAATACTATCACGTTTATAGTTTCTTTATACAATCAGTATTTCCCTTTAATACAAAGATGGAATTCTTTATATGTTGACCACCAATAATTACTAAGCCTTAATATATTAATATTGTTCCTATTTTGTATATTACAACTGAATTTTGTTATATTGAAAGAAATCATTGAAGAATATACAGGTACAGTTCTTATAAATTCAATATGCTTTAAACATGCTGCCTAAAATACAAGTTTCATGAACTGAAGGTTGATAAGTTCATTGTTTAAAATATTAGGTCACTTAAAGGGGGCATAAGTTTCCATAATATAACACAAGGAGATAGGAGAACACATTTCTTCTAAAGGAAGGAAAGAGACCAGGTGGGTAAGGCAGAAGCCAGAAGAGGGAGCTGAGTAAAACAAGCAACATCATCCAGTGAGAGCTGGGGAATTCTGGGCGGGAGATGGAACCTAGCGGGGTCTGTAAGACCAGTGCGGTGGAGGGATTCCATAAGGGTGCCGCGCTGCTTTGCACAACAATTTGAAACAATGCAAATTATTTTTCCTAGTAATGTAATTCTCAACCTGGAAAATATTAGTTGTTTAGTGAAGCGACTAGAAGACTATATAAACAAACATTTAACAGCTTCTCCGAGTTGCACCTCAAATATTATATAATGTATTTTATTTATGGGAATATTTATGAAAGGCCAAAAACAGTCACCAGATTCTTTTAGATTTCTGTGATGCTAAAATGGCTAAGAAACTCTGAGTTGGAAAATGTGGGAGAAACTGCCATTCGTGGTGGCAGATGCGTAAGTATTAGAAGTAACTTTGACAAACAGTATGGAGAATGTCTATGAAGGAAACTTTAAAATTTAAAATTTTCCTTCAGAGATATAAAAGAGAGTAAGCAAATGGGAAATAATATAGTGTCCTTGCATGGAAAAAACTGGAAACTGTGACAGAAAGATACCTCTGTTTATGACATAAGAAGTTACTGTATACATGAATATTGCCTATTAATGAAACAAATGATTATTTAATCAAGTGGTGATAGAAAAACATGAGTAGCCACTTGGGAAGTACTTTTAGTTTGTCACTTTATGTCCCTAAAAATTGTTAAAGTTTATTTCAGATTGGTTACTGTCTGAATTTGGAAAAAAATCTAAACAGTACAAATTCAATGGAAAATTTCCCAAAAGAAAGAGCTCTTTACATAAAAATGTACTACATGAAAATATAAATTACATATACCTGTCAAAATAATAAGGAAATGAAAATAAAACAAACTGAGAAATGTATTTGCAACTAACGAGATAAAAGGATTAGTGTTCTGTTCCTCTAAGAGCTTATACAAATTGTCAAAAAAATGATCCCAACAGAAGAGTGGATAAAAAGGACATGTAAATGTTAAGGAAGCACAGATGTTCAATAAAATATGAATAATACTCAACTTACATTAAAGAGATACTAGATTTAACAGTCAAGATAAAATTTTCTAAGTATAATACTTAGTGTTCTCTCCACAAGGGAACCATGAGAAATGATGCAAAAGCTAGTATAATCCTTCCAGAAAAGAATTTGAAAATCAAGAGTCTTAAACATGACCATTTTATTTTGCCTAGTAATATCATTTTTGGTAATCCTATGTAAGTAAACAAACAAGTATAAAGTTTTATGCATAAGGAATTTTCCTACAGAATTATTTATTATAGGAAAAGTTGAAATAAATAATTGCATGAGTATGTAATGAAAATTATGTAGACATTAAAATGATGTTAAGAATACTGACATGAGAATTTGCTTATAAGGCAATGTAAAGTTATAAAGTGTAGGACACCAAGTTATAATATCTCACCTATACAATAAATTACATAGTAGGATGCAAAAGATTAAGGTGGTTCATGTTTCTTTTTTTTTATTTAAAGGAAAAAAAAACAAAACAGTATAAGGGTACAAGTAATACAGAATTACAAAAAAATGATTAAAAAAATCACTAGTTAATAGATTACATATTGTTATCTTAGAAACAGTTGTTCAAGTTACAGGATTAAAGCATACAAAGTGGACATTCAAACAGTGAGACTGCAAACAGTTGTGTTCAATGATCCAACAAAAACTCAGTAATATAGTTATCTATCTTAACACATCCATACACACTTGCAGTTGTATCCTTTACAGCACATTTTTTTCCTCTCTTTTTTACAACAAAACTTATACATTTTGAGTTTTATTACTACCATAGTTCTTATTACTTTTTTTGTAAAAGAATAAAACCAAATATGACAAAACAAAGCAGTTGGTCAAAACAAAGGATAGACATAGCACATGATGTAAAAACAGAATACAAGGTTATCAACAATGGTTACCATAATGCCTCTTGCTTCCTTAAAAAGAATTGCCTATATCATCAGGTATAATAAAACTGAACAAAACAGTACAGAACAAGACCAATAAAACCTAAACATTGGAAACATTACAGAACTTCAAAAGAAGATAATAGTCAAACCAGAATGGGCATCATAGTGAATCTTATTGCCTTCAAAGTAGTTGCCTATACCCTCAAACTTGATACTATCAAACAGAACAGTCATGTTTCATTTTTAATGCATATTTATATTTTCCTATAATGAGTACGAGTTCCTTTGGAAATTTTCTTAAATGCTATTTTGTTGTGTTAACCTGCAAAGAATTGTTTTTTCTTGATATGTCTTTAAAAGGTTATGGCCATTGTTATGTTGCAGAAATCTGATATCAAACCAAATGGAAGATCCTTTGCACCAAGGAGTTGGAAGGCAACTGTTTCTTACGCTAGCAGACTGTTGGGACCAAGTCCCAAATCACCAGCCTCAAATCAATTTTGGATTTAGTTTTTATAAGGTTGCAAGCAGGGAGTACAAAAGCTAATAGCAAATCAGTTTATGTTAGGTCATATGTTGCAAAGCAGATTTGTTCCAGCAGGTTTACCTTAAAAAGGAATTGTCTATCCTAGGGCAGGAGAATCTAGGGAGGGAGCTGGGGCTGAGAGGTTGTAACTAAACATGTCTTTCGGTAGTTAATCTTGGTTGGACAGTCCTTGAAAATAGAATCTGTTTGCATGTCAGACAGTACAGGCAGTCCAGGTGGATGCGGTCAGACTGAGTCAGGTCTGACTACCTCTAAGTTGCAACTGACGTGATCGGTTAAGGCTGAGTCTAGTGGTCTGACTATGTGCTGGGCTGGGTGAGCACATCCTGTCTTAATAGGGCATCAGATTGTTGATTTTTAACTTTCCTGTTACAGTTATAGTAATCAAAAGAACTTGGTAAATCAAAGTAGCTGCAATATTTTTCTCTCTTCTCCAGAAGATGCAATTTCAAATGAAATCAACATGATCCAACTCAGCTCTCTTATAACATTAAACTTCTTGTCAGTCCAAATTTAGGAACTTCAGAAATGTCAAAAGATCCAACAACACTAAATATCCTCAGTTGCTTCCCTTATTATTTCATTAACTGCTCAGGAAAACCCAGCTTTTCTTTTCCCGACCGTGGTGATTTGCTTTTATGCAGATTCGTCTATCTGGAGCTTCCGGCTGCGGCTAAGACCTTGTGCACCAGATTCCGCTGGTGGCAGCCCGTGTTCTCCGGGGAGGACTATGACCAGTGGGCAGTCGACGACATCATTATTCTGTCAGAGAAGCAGAAACAAGTCATCCCAGTTGTCAACCCAACTCTGCCCCAGGTAAATGGAGCTCCAAAGAGCTGAGGATTGTAAAAGTGGATGAGATTAAAAAACAAATAAACAAACAAAAAACTGTTAACTTCCTAAAGTAGTTAGCATTTGACACTGAATTATGTAACATAAATTTAAATTTCTTGTGCTTAATTTTTATTACTTCTGTAAGCCAGTAATTCACATGTTACTCAGACTGTGAAATCTAAGTCATCAAGTAAAATTGTTAGTGTTTTATAAAGTGATTAGAAACTCAATGGGCTAACTTATTTTGGTTATTAAATCATCAGGAAAAAGTGTTAGTGTCAGTATAGAAAAAGTTAATCTATAAGTTCTTCTGTATTTTACTAGAAATGAAACTGGTGCATGGCCCAGCATGTCGTAAACTGAAAATTCCTTTCACGTTTTCAAAGCTATGCAGTCACTTTCCTGTTTTATTTGTATCATTTCTATTAGAACTTTTATGAGAAGCCAGCTTTTGACTACCCGATGAATCAGATGAGTGTGTGGTTGATGTTGGCTAATGAAGGCATGGTGAAAAATGAAACCTTCTGCGCTGCCACACCCTCAGCCATGGTGTTTGGAAAATCGGATGGAGACCGGTTTGCAGTCACTCGAGATTTGACCCTGAAGCCTGGATACGTGCTACAGTTCAAGGTATTTATGCACAAACATCTTCCCAGAGCAGGGTAAGAAAATGTCCTCAACAGTAGATTCCAGGGTCGTCGAATGACAGTGTTTTCCAACTCTACTCATAAGGTAAACAGTTTATCAGCTTTGTTTGTTTCTTGTTTTTTGTTTTGGTTTGGTTTTCTATTTTTTGTGTCTTTTGGGTTTTTTGTTTTTTGGTTTTTTTTGTTTGTTTGTTTTTTGTCTTTTTGAGACAGGATCTCACTATAGAGTTCAGGTTGGCCTTGAACTAACTTTATAGCCCAGGCTGGCCTCACACTTGTCTCAGCCTCCAGAGCACTGGGATTACCAGTTTATCCGTTTTTATTTTACCTTTTATTTTTTTTGCTGAATTGCTCTTCTTGTTTTCTTATTTATGCATTTTTTTATTTTAAATGGAATAAAGCAAAATGGAACAGTGATAAGTAACAGTAGGAAATCTGCAGTAGTTACTGTATTGCATGTCGTGGCCCTCTAGATAGTTGCTCCGATTCAGGCTGGCTCACAGGTGGGGGCTTAGCTTCCTTCCTGCTTCTCCCCTGACCCTGTCCGCACTCTGACCTGGTCACAGGCAGAGGCTTACCTGCCTTCCTGGTTCTCCCTGGTCTGCACTCTGGCTGGGCCTATCAGTTTTTGATACTCAAACTTTATCTATCATTATATTTCCTTAAGTGGTTGGGAAACTCTTCCCTAATTAAAAATAGCATTGAGTATAAGGACTGTACTCTGACTGTGGTTTATTGAATCCTGTGCTTCTGAATGGTGCTGGATAAGTTCTGTTTTTCTGCTTACTAGTGGTTTTTGGACATGTTAATTCTTTTATACTTTTATTATAAGATTTTCAAACAATTCCTTTAATTCAGTAAATTACTGTACTTAACTTTGTTTTTCTAATAGCTCATTGTCTTTCAACACTGTGATATCAATATGTATAGTGAGTATTTACTTTGACAAGATCTTGTCTGAGAACTTCAATCAAAATTTTATTGTGTTTATAGTAAAATCCCATTGGTGAATTCTGGGGTTGAAAGTAATGCAGTTTTAATGAGCTAGCACAACTACATGGTCCTTACATAACGGCAGGATGCAGATGCTAAATAATTTACAAATAGAATTATTAAAGAGATCAGATGTTTATAGGAAGCTCTTCAAATACAATTTCCACAGGTCTAAAAATAAGGATGTTAGTCATAAATAATAAGATTAGTAAAAATGTTACCTTTGTTTGGATTTTGAAGCCAACATATAATAAAAATTTATTTTGATAGCACTTAAATTGGTAGTAAAGTAATATCAGTAGCCAATACATTTCCAGAATGCTATGCTGTTTCTCACCTGACACTTTTTCAATTTACTTAGTCATAAAATCATGGTAATATAGGCATTAAATTCTACAAGATGATATGCTGAAACTTAAAAACAATCCAAGAAATTGTTACACATTTCAGTACTTACAGGAAAACAGTGCATAGTACTTGAGAAAAATCTTAGTTTTTGTGTTATATAAGCAGAAAGCTACTGATTTTTGGTTATTAATTAATAATAGACACAAAATATGAATTATTCAGGAATTATAAGTAATGTATATTTGAAACCTGTATACAGGAACTGTTGGTGTCATTTATACAAAAATGCCTGGTGCTGGTGCATATATATAACTCTGTCATGTGGCAAACACTAGGTTCTAGGTTTGTAGAAAGAAAATAGGGTCTTTGTCCTCAAGATGCTCAGAAGCAAAAGATGAGCAAAAAGCAAACAGTCACCATGCAGTCACAGGAGTGCTGGGGTCCAAGGAAGCTCTGGATGCTGTGGGAGTGCCCTGTGTAGCACCTGACATGGGGCAGGTACTAAAAATACATTTGTCAGTGGGTAGCTGAATAGATGGATGGATGGATGGATGGATGGATGGATTAAAATTAAAAGCTTCTGAAGTTTTAACTAGCTGAAGAGTGAAGGGGAAGGATTTCCAGATAGAAGTCACAAAATATCCAAATACATGAAAGTGCAAATGAGACCGACAAATTTGCAAACCCTGAGAAGTAAGGGATGTGATTCACCAAGATGAGACATAAAGCTGATTTTGATTTGCACTGTATATTATACTAAGTCACTTGGATATTACCCCAAGAATGAGGAGTCACAAAAGATTTTTAATCTGCTGAGTGCCAGAATCAGACCTGTATTTTAGAAGGCTCATTCTGACAGCAGTATGGGTGTCTGCCTGACAGGAAGGGAAAGCATTGTCACCAAGCACATTAATTCAGAAAATATTTATAAAGTCAGTATGTTCCAGGCACTATCGTAGGCTATAAAAAAGTACGTAAGCGTGGAACAGACAGTGGAGAGTCGTGACCATTTTACAGTGTTGTCAGGTTAGCCTCACTGATCAAATGTTACTTAAGCTACAACCTACAGAAAGTGAAGGACTGAGTCATGCAGCTTCCTGGGAAAGATAATTCCAGGTGCAGGGAACAAAAAAGGATCAGGGCTTTAAGGTGGGAATGTTCTTGAAATTGTTCTAGAAACCACAGGGATGCCATTGTGACCACAGCAGAGAAAGGAATCCAGTAGGCCATGTAGAAAAACAGAAGGAAGAGAGACAGACTTTGAATTCTGTTTTATTCACAATTACTAACAGACAGATGATATTGTCTGACTCACGCTTTTAAAGAATCACTCTGGTGACTGCTGGGAATAAGATTCTAGAGCTGAACAGATACCGGGGGTGGGGGCAGCCATTGCCGTGACCCAAATGGGCCACATAGGAGTGTGTGGTCGTGGAGAAAACAAGAAGTGAAGAAATCAAGTAATAAAGGGAAAAATGGCCTGGTCTCCAACGCTTACTTCAATTTTCCATCTAAATTTGGTATTCTTGTCTATAGTTTCATACCATAACATTTTATTATAGCTTCAGCCGAGAAACGAAATAAAATGTGAACAGATCATTCACATAAGACATCATTAATTAAGCAAATAGGGAAAAGCCTGACAGTTAAAATTAACAAAAAATATAAACTGAAACTGTTTTAAAATTCATTTGTACATTGTTAGTTTAGGAAAAAAAAAATCTTAATCTATAATAGTACCTGGTGCTGTGGTAAAACCAATGAATATGAACTTAACTGATATGAATTGAACACATATAATCAGAAATTTTTTAGTGTTTCTATATCTGTACACAGTAATTCTACTCCTAGGGATTTATCTAGCAGTAACATATTAACTGAAGAAAAAAGATTGTCTGCAATACTACATGTAATAATAAAATAATATTGTGAATGAAAAGCAAGAGAAAGCACGAGAAGCATGAAAGCTTCAACCCTTTGACCAAAATATATACAGGAAAACTTCGGTGTGTGAGCATAATTTGTCCCGAGAAAACATGCTTGTGATCCAAAGCACTTGTGCATCAAAATGAATTTCCCCATAAGAAATACGCAAACTCAGATGATTCGTTCCACAACCCAAAAATATTCATATAGAAATGATTGCAATACTGGAATATAATACAAATAATAAAGAAAATATAACACATAAAGAAAAATAAGCAAGTTAACCTGCACTTACCTTTGAAAACCTTCATGGCTGGTATGAGGGAGACAAGAGAGGAGGGTGACTGTGTAGCATGACTGTCACTGTCGCTGTCACTGAGGGAATTACTGCTGTCTGTTGGCTCAGTGGAGTCTTCTTTTCGTGCAACTCTAACAAGGAACCTATCAAATGCCACTTGCTTTTGCCTCCTTTCAAGGAGTTCCTGGAAATGTGACACTGCATTGTCCTTAAAGGGATTCATTGCTCACACTGCCACACCCTTATTTGGATGATGCTTTTCTACAAAATTTTGTACCATTTCTTACATTTTACTCATCCTCCTAACCTCATCTGAAGTGAAGGATTCCTTCTCCTCTCCTCCATAACCTCTTGCTATTGGGATATTATTGCCCATAATCTGAGAGACAGAGAGACACACAGCCAGACACACAGACACAGACAGACACAGAGAGGAGGGAGGGGCCGTTGGCTAGGCTGTAGTCATGTGGTGTTCAGCGTCTTACACTACTCATGTTGCAAGACACTGTTCATCTATCAAGTTAAAATTTATTAGAAATGTTTGCTCATCTTGTGTAACATTCGCAGAACAAATTGCTTACAATTCATGGTTTTACTATGCTTTCTTAAAAAGAGCAGAAAGGCTTTGTGTGGGGGGGAGCATTGGAATTTTGGTTGCATTTTTTTACAGTTTTTTTTTTAACTGTGCCAATCCTGTGTTGACAATCCTCTACTCAAGTGCATGGAACAGTAGCATTTTATCTCTGAATGATGCTGTAACAAAAATTCAGCTTTCATCTAAATTGACACTGATTTCTTACTGAGCTTGGGCAGAAAAAGCTGTGTGTTCCCCAGGAAGCAGAGGGCCGCTCCTGTCTTCCAGGGATCACAGTCTAAAGAGGATTCTGCTTGTCCATCTTCTGCTTCCCTAGTTTCTACTCCCTGCAGGGAGAAGGAAGCAACTTTTTGCAGACTTACCTTCTGTCTGGGATTCTAGAACCACAGTGACAGTACTTCTGTCTTCTGTAAACCCCAGAATCCAGCTTTCTGTGATAAAGTCCTCTTGCTGCCTACACAGAGAAGTCCAGGATTTGTGGAAGGGTCTTTGCTGGGATTGAACCACATGGTTCTTGATGCAGATTGCATGCAGACCCACTAGCAAGGACTCTGGCTCAGCAGCACCTCATCTCTCACATGACGTCTTGGAATCACATCTCTGTATCATCCTCTTCTCCCTTTTAACAGCTAAATATAGGGTGTGCCAGTCAGTTCAGCAGTGCAGCCCCCGTGCTCCTCCAGTACTCCCATGATGCCGGGATGTCCTGGTTTCTGGTGAAGGAAGGCTGTTTCCCAGCTTCTGCGGGCAAAGGCTGCGAAGGGAACTCCAGAGAACTGAGCGAGCCCACAGTGTACCACACGGGGGACTTTGAAGAATGGACGAGAATCACCATTGTTATCCCAAGGTCTCTTGCATCCAGGTAAGGTAATCCTTCTTAATGGGATACAGCTGCCATTTTTCTTGAGACTAGTTACTTGCCTCAATATCTTTATCTCAACTGTCTCAGTAGTCTAAAAAATTCATACAGTCTGGCATTTCCTTATCCAAATTATGATTCTTGCGGGAAAGCCTGCTAGGACAAAAATTTCCAAAATGGAGGAGGGGAGACAGAGACCAGAGAGAGAGTTGCTTAGATACACACACTTGTGAATATGACACAAGTAAATACTCATTCCCCATAAATTCATTGAAAAAAAACTGAGTGTCTACTGCACCGCTGTAGACACCTCCCTTTTTAAAATGTTTTCCAGCATTATTGTGAGCTCTCAGTACACAGAAGTGAGCTAAAAATATTAAAGGCTTGGAGAACTGCAAAGCATTATTGTGTGTCGCTTTCACTATATAGAGATTTTTAATCTTTGACGCCTTCTGGCATGATGTTGTGGTATCTTGCAGTGTAAGTGATCCCTTTAAATGACTATGAAAACAATAAGACAATAGAGAAAAAGATTTAAAATCGATTCATGGAGGAATGAGCTGAAAGGAGTGAGAATTTGAAGTGAACCAGTTTTATTAATAGAGCAATAAATTTAACTCTTAGCTTCCTGGAAGCTACACCAAAAGGGGGAAATATGGGATAATTTAGTTCTCATTGTTGAGTAAAAAGAAAGCAAGCAGACCCATTCTGGGTTTTAAAGAAGAGACACACTTTGCCAGGCTCAATCTCCTGGAATAAATGTGTAGCATCTTTGGACTAGATAAAGTAGAGGACACAATGGTTAGTATTTTTAACTTCTATCGTTTTATAAAGGATAAAAAGCATTCTTCCAAATTTTTCCAAATTCTTTGAGCAGCCACTTCTTAATTGACTCCTGTACATAGCAGTAATCATGGCTCAGTGCAGCCATTCTGGTTCAGAGCTGAGATGTTGTAAATCTGTTTGCACCCCCCTGGTGATGTACTCGTGACCGGGATGTTTCTTAGTGTCAGGCAGCCACGCTTCCACCTTCTTTCCCTCCTGGGACTGCATTTCCCGGCACCCTCCAAAGTTTGGCATGGCGTAGTGCATTGCAAATGGACAGGAAACACAGGACTTTAAGATGCCACATGCATCTCGTCGTGTCCCCTGCTTTACAGAGGTCTGATTGCAGTATCAGCCTGGCCCCTGAAAGTCTACAGCAAGCAGTTTGCCTTGTTGTGTTGAACTACAAGAATGGGAGTTGCTTGTTAACAGGGCATATTCTAGTTCATCCTGACTGGTGTGGTGGTAAAAGCTTAGCAAGCCATAACAATGGCTTATCTCTAAAGTTTTTAGAGATCATTCTGTCTGTGATGTTTTTCACCTAATCGATCATCAAATTTACTATCCATCATTAAGCTAGGCAGACTGGTTGTGTTGTCTACCTCCCGCATTACTTTAGGCGTGCATACTTCAAAACATACTGCAGCTGTTGGCAGACAAATTTCCAAGGTAAGAAAGGAAGTTCTTTGGTCAAAGATGTAAAAATTTCTGTTCTAGTCTGATAAAGCTTGAAGTGTATGTAATCTTTAAATACCAGCTATTTCCAGAAATAGCTATTAAGCTACTTCATTGAGAAGGTTCAAGTCAATTCCTTTGTCTTCATGTGTCAGTGATCTTCGTGGTTTATCAAAGAGCGAGTCAAAGGCTGTGGAGAGCTGCTGTGTAGGCGGCAGAGCTAATGAGCCTATCACTTTTAATGAAACCTAAGAATTTCACTTGCAGCGGGCATTAGTTAAAATACAGATCCACTACTGTGTCAGAGAAACACACAAACAAATGCTCAACAAAGTTTAAATAAGTTAGTTTATACTTTCTTATATAATAGTCCAAAGATGGGCAGTTGAGAGTTGATAACTTGGCTCTGCCATTCTGAGCACATAACTTCCTATTTTGGAGCCAAGACCTGTCATCTCTTAACCAGTGAGAGGAAAAGGGAATCAAGGATGCACAGCTGCATTTCTTTTTTTTTAAAAATCAGCCTTGCTTTTGGTCTACATTCCTTAGTTGAGTCTAAGATGATATTTGCATCGTTATCTCCTGCCGTGCAAAACACTCCTCCAAAGCTTAGTGGCTTAATGCAATGGTGCATTATCTCTCTCGGGCTCCCTGGGTGGTTGTGCTGGGCTCTCTCCTAGCCACCATCTGGCAGCTGTGTTCAGTTGGAGAGCTGGCTTTTGGGTTCAGCTGCATCTTCTCACTGTGCTCTTCCTCCTAGTATTTTTACTGTTGACCGGTTCCAGAGTTCCAAAAGAACTGAGGTATCTGGAGGATTTATCTTAATTTGCTATGTCTTTCTGGTCAACCAAGTTGCAAAACTACTTAATATTTGGGAGGTGAGGATGTGGACTCCTGTTCTGATAGAAAGTGCATAAAAGTCATGTTACAGAGGGACATGTGTGGTGAAGGGAGAGGGTCATTGTGACCATGTAGTGTCACCTCCCCTAGCTCTGGTGACTCACGTCTCTCCACTGCAAGATGCTTTCGCTCTCCTCCAGGGCTCCCCAGCTTTAGCTGTTCATGCCCTGATCTTACTATCTGTATCCGTGAAGACAAGTTACCTACCCTACCTTTCCCAACATAATGTGGGGAAACAGTGGCAGCTAGCCAGAGATCTCACTGGCTTCCTGTACCCACCACTCCACCCTGCCTTCCTCCCCGCAACTTCCTGAAACCACGGCCCCCCACAGCCCTTCCAAATAGATAGAGGGAGGCACATCTTTCTTTCTGCAGGGACTAGAATATCAAGGTGCTCAAGCACATCACAACAAAATCAGATAAACAATAGTGAGCCCAGGACCAGAAATCTAATTGGATTTTTCCAAAACTCCATAATACATAACTGCATCTGTCACTACAGTGTGTTTTGCATTGGGTAGAATACTCCAATTGGTAGAGCCACATTCAAGAAATAAGAAAATATTGTCCTTAGCATCACAAAGTGAGCCAATATTTTGAGACTCCAAATGTATCAATATTTTCTGAGACTTCAGCTTTTGGAAGAAGAAATCCTCTCCATTGCCACCCAGCTTCCTGCTTCATTTGGATACTAACCAGCTTGCTAATTGATGGCCTGTGTGATGAAAAAGCCCTCTGCTAAAGAACAGTAAATGTTTCCACTTCATCACAAGTAAATGAGCTGTTGTACCTTTTGCAATATGTTAGGCTCAGCTGTGTCCAAATGCAGCATTCAAAAGCTGAGAACTCCAAGTGTTAAAACTGTTCAAACTTGGAATTATTTTGCCATGAGGCAATATGCTTGCAATAGTTACTAGAACCCTGCTCTTTCTGAAATAATTCTGAGCTGATTTTCTCAAGGGAGCAGTTTAGAGTCATATCAGTCTGCATAGTTCTTGCGTACAGAGGAGAGACGCTGGTGGTGTAAATACACGCTGGTACATCTTCCCCAGCTTTCGGGCATCCCCATCCACTTGGGAGGCAGCACAGCCTGCCTGAGGTTCCCAGTGCAGAAGAGTGCAGACAGTGATATCTCTGGGCAGGGACAGAAACACAGTTGCTTAGTATTCTGCTAAGCACCTCTGTACCACCTGTCATCTGTGCACACCTGCACAGGACAAGCTGGTGCAGCGTCCCAGAACTGTGTGGCAGTAGGAGGGTGGCAGGGCCCCTGCCAGTAAGATGGGAATTGGGAAGGGAAAAAGAAATGCAGTGTTTAGTTCTTTGTGCCTGTCTGAAATATGCAAAACTAAGGGGAAGTTTTGATCTATGATTTCCATAGTCAGCCACACTATGGCATGTTTCGAGTAAAATGATGTAAGATTAAACTCCATCTTGCTCCTAAAGCATCACTTCCTGTGCGTCGCTTCCTGCCAAGCTGAAGACTTCTATTACGTGAACTCCTGACTCTGTGTCCTGCTGGATGGTGGTGGTCAGGGTGGCATGTGCACCTTTGTTTGTGCAGGTCCTTGATAAGTGCATCTTCTCAGTCCATCACGGACCCCTAGACCACAGGCAGTGTGTGTAGTTTGCTTCCATGGTAACCCCAGCCCTAGCACTGTGTCTGGCGTGTTGCAGGTGCTCGCTGCACATCCTCTGAAAGCAGGAATGTTGAACAAGCAAAATAACCAGCTACATGATTAACAACAATGAAGACATCTCCCTTTTTAAAATGTTTTCCAAGATAAACACAAGGCTGTTCAGCCAGAAACAATTTCTGTGTGTTTCGCTGTGTCTCCTTGAAAAAGCAAGGCTAGCACATTAACAATATCAAGAGCTGGAAGGCTGCACCTCCTAGATTTTGAAAGCATAGAATCTAGGCATGACTATTCAGTGTGGCCTGTTCACTGATTCCCTCCTTTGGCTGTTGCAAGGGGGGCCGAGGATTGGCCAATTCTGGCAGCCATTCATCCCATGTATTTGCTCTGAGATGAGGGGTATCTTCCCAGCTGAATAACAGGATATCTCTAATAAAAGGAATTTCTCCAAAATCCAGGATGTAGAGACAATTATGCTTATTTATTTTCCTTTTGCTTTGTTTTTAAAATCTCCTTTAGTTCAGTTCGATTTTGCCTTTAAAAATAAGACCAATGCATTTTTTAATTAGAATTCAAAGAAATGCTGTGATACTTTTTGTCTTTTAAAATAACACCAGTACAGGCTATGTGTGATAGCCCATGCCTGTAATCTCAACTCAGGAGGCTGAAGCAGGAGGATCACTGTGAGTTTGAGGCCATCCAGGGCTACAAAGTGAGTCCAGGGCCATCCTGAATTGCATAGTGAAACCCTGTCTCAAAAAGACAGAAAATAAATAAATAAGACTAATGCATTTCAAATTGGGACTCAAAGAAATACTGTGACATGTTCACCTTCCTCTTTACACACTGAAATTAAAGCTGGCATTAGGAGGTGATGAACCTGTAAAAAGAAAAAAAACCTTTTAAACCTAATAATGTTGTTGGTTACAATCTGATTTTCCAACAGTAGCTGACCTAAAATAATGCAGAAATAAAGTCAGAGTTATGGTTCAGTATTTCCAAAATTTCCAAAGTTACTTGAAGAACTAAAAGAAGCACATTCTGATGCTGTCGTGATATTTTCACAATAACAGAGGCGAGGAGGAGACTTCTTTTTCTGTAATTATTCTTTTTGCATTTTAGCAGTACTGGGGAGTGAACCCGGGGATGCTCTGCCACTGGGCTATGTCCCAGTCATTAATTTATTCATTTTTCCTCCTTATTTGTTTATTCATTCATTCATTCATTTATATTTTTGAGACAAAGTCTCCTAAATTGCCCTATCAGGGTTCAAACTTGAAATCCTCCTGCCTCAGCCTTCCTGAGTGCTTTAATTACAGCACCCATCCACTTTATGGCCATTCTTGACCATCTTCTTTAATCTGTGAGATTCTTTGCCCTTGTTTACTGGAAGCTGGGATCACCCAAGTCTGTAAATATTGGCAGCAAAATAAATTGGAGTCTGGATAAACCTCTTCCTCCTTTGATTTTAGTAGAATTCAGAAGGAAAAGGTGTTTCCCTGTTGTGAAATTGTGGGTGAATCTGTATTTCCATATATTTGAAAAGACTTTTGTGTCGGAAGGATGGCGAAGTTGAGCAGAGTAGGGGACAAGTGTTAGCGTGGTGGCCTCAGCACTGAGCTTCTGGGAGCAGCAGGACCAGACAGCATTGGTGTCCAAGAGTGTGAAGCCCTGCACCGGGCCCCTCTTCTGTGCACTGGTTCCTAGGGTGGATTGGCAGCCTGCCTGGTTGTTCAGTGGGCATCTTAGAGATTTAATAGTGAGAGAAGAAGCCAGGCATGGTGGTGAAAGCCTGTAATCCCAGCGCTCTGGAGGCTGAGGCAGGAAGATTACAAGTTTGAGCCCAAGTAGAGTGACCTAGTGAGACCTTGTCACTAAATAAATAAAAAGTGACTGGGGTGTAGCTCAGTGCAAATTTCCTGTGTTTAACTTCCAGGCACCAAGAAAAAGAGAGGGAAAGAGTGAAACAAGCTAGGAAGGAAAGAAAGAAGGGAAGGAAGGAGGAAGGGAGAAAAAAAGGAAGGAAAGTGACAGAAAAAAAGAGGGTGGGACAGGAAGGCAACAGAGTTATTAGCACAAACTTAACTCCTCCCTCATGACAGTGACTGATAGCCGGAGTCCCCCATGTGTCCTTCTTGGTTACTTTTGTCATTGCTGAGACAAAACACCCAATGCCCAAAGTTAAGGGAGGAAAGGTTTATTTAGCTCACAGCTTGTAGAGGTTTCAATCTATAATCAAATGACACAACACAGGGTGGCGTGGCAGAGAAGACCAGTTCATGGCGGGCAAAGGTAGCAAAGCAAGCAAGGGCAAGACAAACCTGTTTCTGTCCCTTATATTGTTTCCATGCTATGGGGATTAAGGAGGTGCCAAACCAATCAGTGGGCTGATTCAGTAATCGCCCGCCCTTAATCCTAGCATCACAGCATGAGGCTCTTGGGGACATCCAGACACAAGCCATAATACGTCCTTGCAAAGAAGGTTCTACTTGATAATTTCAAAAGTTCCCTAATAGCTGCTTCTGGTACTCATTAAATTATTATTATGAGAATATGTAGTACTAAGTAAAAGAAACAATACCTTCCTAATTAGCATTACTAACAGAAAAAGGGGTAGGGAAATATGCAGTGAAATCCTATAATATGCTTCTGGCCATCAAAAGCCTTCTATTAAAAAAGAAAAGTTCCGTACCTGTTAGCCTCCTGGTACTGAAACATCCATACTGAGGAAGAAATCGAGATTTGAGAAAGATTTGAAAGAGACATCTCACGAAAGTTAAATGTGTGACCAAGCAGTCAGGGACACCCAGGTAAATATTAAATCTCTGGAGCTGCTTTTGAAGCTTTCTGTGCTCAGGTGTTTTGGTGGGAAGTGAGGTTTGAGAGACAGGCATGTTGTGTTTCCCAGCAGCAAGACCCGGTTCCGGTGGATCCAGGAGAGCAGCTCCCAGAAGAACGTGCCTCCCTTCGGGCTGGATGGAGTGTACATATCCGAGCCCTGTCCCAGCTACTGCAGTGGCCGCGGGGACTGCATCTCGGGCGTGTGCTTCTGCGACCTGGGGTACACGGGTAAGGCGGGAGTGCGGGTCTGATGGTTTGTTGTAAATGTTTGTCTGCCCTTGCTGTATTTCATGCTCTTTCAAACAAGTAGATCCTGAGTTTATTCCTCTCAGGCCTCAGGACTGGGGGAGTTTGCCATGTGGGCCACAGAGGCAGTCAGAGAGTTCCAAGCTGTCTCTGGAAGAAAGCTTGATAATATGAACTTCACTCCCCAGAAGGACTTTGTGTGTTATAACAGCACTCAAATGCACATTGGTTGAAGTCCTACTGTGTGCCAGGCTCTACAGTCAGTGCTTTCTATTTCATACCTTTTGATTCCAATAACCCTATGCTGTGGTCCTGTAACCTCTGCTTACACTCGCAGTAAGTGAGGGACAGAGGGGTTAGTAATTCAAGTTACACAGCCAGGAGTTGCCAGAGCTGAGCTTCAAACTCAAACCGCCGTTCCCTAAGACCCAAACCCAGACTCTTCACCACATGACTGTAGGTTTTCCCCGAGCTCTTTACGCTGCCTTAAAAAAAAAAAGAAAAGAGGGGCTGGGAATTTAGCTCAGCAGCATAAGCACCTGCCTTGCAAGCGTGCAGTACCAATTTAAAAAAAGAATATAATTTTATACATTTAAAGTAAATATTGAAATTATAAAGCAATAAACCCAAGATTCCCAAAAGAGAGCATTACAAGTGAATCATTTTCTGATCAGTCACCTTTGAATGTTACTACAGAAAAACGAAAACAGAGTTGCACTTCAAAGTGAAAATCAGAGAAATTATCAGGAGCTTTAGAATATTGTTTCTGAGGTTTTCCTGGAGGCAGCTTCCCAAGGCCGCTTCCCAGCCGGTCAGTGCTCTGCCCCGCATCTGCATGGAGCCAGAGACAGATACCCAGTGGCAGTCAGGCTCGTGGGGACAGTGCTGTCACTTGTAGTTTCCAGGGTGGCATTTTTTAAATCTAGGACTTGCTCCCCTCAGTGACGCTGTACTAGAAGGACCACAAATGAGCACATTTTATTACAGACAAAATCTACTTCACATTTTACACAGACCCCCTAAGTAACAAGCCCTGGGCAATCACATTGTTCCTAGTGTCTCTCTTTATTTCCTAAAAACACAAAAATTAAAATTCCAGAGGCAGAGCAGCATCTTTGGTGGTGATCATCAAGGCTCTTCAGACAGTCATGAGATGCGGATTTCCAGGTGGCTTCCTTCCTGGAGCACCTGTGCAAGTTCTGTCTTTGCCTGAGCGTTGAGTGTACCTGTCACTGTTCAGAGATTCCAACCCAGGCTCTCTCCTTTGTCTGAAGCTGCCCAGGGATCCTGTGCGTCAAACATCCCCAACCACAGCGAGATGTTCGATAGGTTCGAGGGGAAGCTCAGCCCACTGTGGTACAAGATCACCGGCGGCCAGGTGGGCACAGGCTGTGGGACGCTGAACGACGGCAGGTCTCTCTACTTCAACGGCCCTGGGAAGAGGGAAGCAAGGACTGTCCCCCTGGACACCAGGAATATCCGGTGAGGTGCTAGCTGGCATGCTTCTCCTTGAGAGCAGTATGGCTCTAACCTAACACACTCTGGTGTCGCTGAGAGTTTATGTAATAACGTTTCCACATGTATGTTCTGATGTGTGAAATGAAACCGAACTTTAGCTCTGTAATCAAATGCATAGTTCCTGCAAAAATCGTACCACAATTTGTTAATCAACATAATCATCTCCAGAGCCTGCATGGCTAGTGTGCATTTAGCTTGGTTTTCTCGAGTTGTTATTTTGAAAATTTGTTGATATTATTCTTAATGTATGCTGATAAACAAGGATGTTTCCAACTTTAATCTCAGCATCTAAAAATGGTACATCTTCATTTATCTAAGTTTGTAGTCACTTATTTAAAACTACCAGGAAATGTTAAAGGCCTACCTGGACACCTACTGGTAAAATACAGAACTGTTTGATTGTTAAGGTTAAATGAAATAGTAGCACACCTAAAATGAAAGTGCTTTTTTTTTAAAAAAAATCAGTTAATTTACTTGAGAATTTGAAGGAAGGAAATGGAAGAAAGTTTGAAATTCTCCTCTCTGAAATCTGAAGCTGCTTTCATATTTTTTCTCTTCCTTTCCTTCCACATCCTTTTCTCAAAGATATTTGTCAAGCAAATGGTTACCGTGGATGGAGGCATAATTTCATTACACTAAGAAACCCGTTGAGTCTAAATCAATAATAGATGTAATTATCTAGCTCTGAACAAACAGTGGTGAACTTTAGAGTGTCAGTTTTTTATCTTGAATTTCTAATGACAGAATTATCCGGATTTAAGAAATTTCCCATTAAATTACAACAGAAGTGAGATTAAAGGTTTTTTTTGTTTTACTATACAGAATAAAATTTAGGACTATTATTAATTTATTTGAAATGGTTACAGAATTACCTTACTACAATCTATATACTTTCTGCCTGTCCTATGACCTCTAGTTTGAAAATAGTGCTTAAGAACTATGGGAGTTTTTTTCTTTATATTACAAAATACAAAGGATTAAAGCTCTCCTAGATTCACTTATCTGTAAGTAAACAGAAATTTTTCTTCCCCAGACTCGTTCAATTTTATATACAAATTGGAAGCAAAACTTCAGGTATTACCTGCATCAAGCCAAGGGCTAGAAATGAAGGTAAGCGACTCTATTTCCATAGAAATCACAGTTACTGTTGGCAAATTAGTCCTTATTTCTCCCAGACATTGGCCTGGATTTTACAAACTCATACCTTCCCTTGAATGGTTCCTTCTCTTCCCTCACCCTTCATAGAGAAAGGGAGGTTGCATGGAGCCAAGATCTCTTAACATTTTTCATCCAGATCTGAAAAATCCCACAGCCACTCTGGGTGTAGGCAGGATAAGAAGGCATTTGTTTCAGGGAACTCTGTATAGGAAAAGGAAAATGACAGGAACAGAGACTTGGGCACTGAGTGCGGCTAAAACTCGCAGGGCATTCCTGAGTGCACAGCAAACCCTGCCTCTGCTCCTGAGCAGGTTGTGGGGGACCGCGATCCTCGTGTAGGAGAGACCCTTGGTAAAATAAATGCCAGCTTTTCCCGGACCTCTGCCGTGGGAGGGACCAAGTGTTTCTCTGGTGTGAATTCCTCTCATCCCTGTGGCATCCCTTTGTCGTCTGTGCTGTTATTAACCCTATTTTATAGATGTGAAGTTGGAGGCAGAAGCCAGCCATGTACCCTGCCCACAGTCATGCACTTAATAAACACACAGGACTCAAGCTACTCACTTTGACTCCAGAATTAATCATCCTACTACACTCCTCCTCTCCTCACCCTGAACTCTGGCTAAGCACCCAGTCCCTCTTCAGTTTCAGAGGGCTCAGTCCTGGGGGAAATGCAAAACCCTGGGAGCACAGGGCCTCCAGGAGCTCCAGGATGGGTATGAGAGGTTCCTTGAGGCACCCAGAGTGTTTTCAGCATGAAATCCATAGACAGCTTCAGAAGCAGTGCATGAAAAGTTCTACAAAATTCTCATCTCGGCTTGTAGCCATGTCAGATATGGCTGTGTAAAACACTGGCTCAAGCAATACCTGTTAGTCAGGAGCACTGCTCATCAGCTTTGACTTTCCTTGGTCCTAGCCTCACTAACCAAAGGCTTTCCTTTAGTAATTCTGCAGAACTTCATTAAAAATCTGTCCTAGAGCAGGCACTGTTCCAAGTGCTACAGACACGGGCCACCCAAAGACAGACGGGTCGGCCGTGATGAGTTAGGTTATGCTGTGGTAACAGATAGCCATCTAAGTACCAACGGGTTCCAGCACGATTTCTCCCTTGGGCTACATTTCCTTGCTGGCTCATCTGAGGTCCTCATTCCAGCCTCCAAGATAATGAAGCATCCACTGGTTGGATGCTGGATGCTGTCAGCCAGAGGAAAAAACAAAGAGGGTAGCAAAGGAGACCAGAAGCGCAAGCCCACCGTGTGCTATATGGGGAACAACCACTTAAGGGAACAAGGAAATGGTTGGCTGTAAGAGGCTGACAGAAAGAAAGGTGCTAAGATAGAAAGTAAACTTACGTGGGGGAAGTGCTGATTTAGGTAAATGGTTTGGGTAGGGGCTCACAAAGAAAGTGACATTTAATAAATTGAAACCTAAAGAAAGTGCCCAGGTGTGATGCTTTCAAAGTTTCCATATTGGGACCCTTATTTGTATGTAAGCAAAGAAAGAAGACCTTAGGTATGAACACAGTGTAGATCTGAGGGCTCTGCCTCACCTTCGGGTGACAAGAGCCGATGCCCACCCTGTGGGGCTGGTAGCCTCAGGATCTCTGTAGGAACAAGCAACTTATGTTCAGCTCATCCAGAGGCATTTTCTTCAGCTCAGCGCTGGCCATGAAACTCGCATCAAATTCTCAGCCTTTTCTTGAAAACTGGTCGTTAGCATGTAAATCTGCCCAAATCCTGAAGCAAACCTCTTCCAGTGATGAAAGTGAAGGTTCTTTACTTACTCAAGCTGAAGCATCAATTTACGTATTTGGAATTACAGTCAAAATTAGGCTGTTTTCTTAGCCTAGGCAGGGTGCAGATGGAGTTGTCATTTAAACAGAGAAATGTTTTGCAGTCCTTAGCCGTTCTGCAGGCGCACTAGGGTGGCGTGGTTTATCTGCATGTGCAAAGTGTAGATGACACAGCGGAGGAGGCTCAGCCACTGATGGAAGTGTGGGCCGCGGTCTCCCTCCCACTCCGCTGCTCCCTCCTCCTTCTCTGGAAGGTGTGCCTTCCTTGTCCTTCAGAAGTGGGCTTCCTCTCTCAGAACTCTGCTACCTGAAGAACCTGTTAGAGGAGAAAGCAGCAGTCAGTAGATGGAGGACCCACTGCCAGAGCCTGAAGTCAGTTGGGATTTGCAGTTTGTTACCATGCAGATTCTGGTTCTGGAGGGCCGGGGAGGCGAGCCTATAACAAACTACCCTAAAGCTGAGTGACTCACACCACAAACACATGGTAGCTTACAATTTCTGTGGATCACGAGGTCAGGGCAGTTTAGCTGAGTGGTTCCGCCCCTCGCATCTCCCATGAGGCCATAGTCAAGAGGAAGTCCAGATGGCTTAGCCACTGGGAGATCAGGGCTGTGTGATCTGTTTCCGTGATGGTTACTCATTTGCTTACTAGCAAAAGGCTTCAGTTCTCCTCTGGCTTTGGCAAGAGGCTTTAGATTCTTCCTGTGTAGACATGGGCATAGGCTGGATATTTTTTTGTGATCGTTAGGACTGCACCCAGAGCCTCATGCATGCAAGGCAGGAGCTCCATACTGACTACACCCTTGGTCCCACAGCAGTGCCTCCAGTGACCTGTCCCAGAAGCTGCCCACAGCGCTCCTACCACATTCCGTTCATTAGAAGTGAGTTACTAAGTTCATCTCCACTCAAAAGGAAGTGCACTAAGCTGCATTTCCTGAAGGAAAGAGTGTCAAAGCATTTGTAGATGTACTTTTAACATTGTCACAGATAGGACCTGTTCCAGAACGTTACATACAGTGCGGGTCTTGGACTGTACTTTGAACAGAAGTCACTAGAAAGGATTAGTGGATGAGTGTTATTCAGGATGCTTCATTTCTAGTACTGTAATCCACCTTCTACATAGACCACCCCAAATAACAGTCTTAATAATTCTCATTCATTCCCTCTCCTCTCCCTGTCCCTCTTTCTCCCTCTCCCTTTCCATCTGTCTCTTCTCTCTCTCTCTTTCTCTCTCTCTCTTTCTCTCTCTCTCTCTCCCCCCCCCTCTCTCCCCCCTTGTTTTTCATATTTCTTATTAAATGTAAGCTATATTAACATAAATTAATAGCCACAAGGACACTGTCACTCTGGAAGAGTCCACACTCTCAGCCATCCAACATCGCACAGGCCAGTGGGGCACACACTGAGCAAACATCAAGGGTCGGAGCCTGGAGCTTCAACCAGGTAGCCTTCAGCTTGAATGAAGACCACAAGCCTCTGGCTTCCTTTTGTGACATGAAGTTTGCTGTGACAGTTCCTCCCCTGACACACATCTCTCCTCAACCAGGCAAAGCTCTAACTCCATCCTCCAAGGATGCCCTGGGCTTTGAATTGGTTTTACGCTGCCCTTCAGTTGGATGAGTTCTTTTGTTTAAAATATAGTTGAAAATACTGCTTCACTTCACTTTAAAGTCCTAATTTTAAGCCTGGTCATCATTATTGTCCCCAGTGTGATCCCTGGGTAATCATAATTCTATGTGCTATTAATCAGCATTAAACAACTTCCTTTCAGCTCTATATTTTATCACAACTTTATTTTACCAAACTCTTTGTTATCAAACATGATTTAAAGGGATGGAGAGGTTCTGTTCAACCAATAATAAAGAAACTTAAAAGTTGTAATCTATCAGGAATGACTTACAATTTTCCAAGCATTTGAATACAATAAAATAAATATGGCCACTGTAACTGGGCAAGATTGCTGTGAATACTTAGAAAATAGTTCACTGTGTCCAGTCATCATTCTGAACAGGCTGTACAAATTTTAGGAATAATTTTAGGATAGTTAATTAGAGAGACCCCAACCCTCTGCTCCATCCTTCATCTGTATTTGTGTCTTCCTGAGCCCAGCAGTGATATTCCTGTAGTCTCATCCTTAATAGTTTGTTCCCTTGCAACCAGTATAACCCTTCCCCTGTGTCCTGTTTTCAGATAAGAAAATGTTTCTGGGAAAGTTAGCAGGGGTGATGCAAGATCACTGTGCAGCTCGCTAAATCTTGTCACCCGAGTGGCAGGTGGAAGGGTGTGGCTAGTTGGAGGAAGGAAAATGGAGCTAACGCTAAGGAGGAGTCATTCTGCTCTCTCGTTAATAATTTTGCTTCCTGCAGGCTTTGCTAACCAAGGCCTAACAAAGTGCAAAGCTCCAGTTAAAGGATCTTTATGGTTAATAGAATTAAAGGCTGGGCCATGCTCACTGCCTGATGCTTTTGGCAGCTGAGAGCCCTACTTGATTTTGTGCCAGGAGATCAAGACGTTTCTTCTGTGTGCATAAGAATGGTATGAGACTTTGTGATGTTCAGAGCAAAATCTAAAATTCAAGTGCATGATCTGAAGTGGATTTTTATGTTCCCCTCACTAACTTCATCATCATTCATACAAAGCCGAGTGCTTTTTAAAAGAGTTTATGTGTTTTTTCATCTCCATTTACTGGGACTCAGTGCATTAGAAACTGTCCAGAAACTGATGAGCCTTCAGTCTACTACTCCATTCCCTGGGTGTTAGATGGATGTGTCCCCGTGCTAGGAGACACAATTTAAAGCTGCAGCCATTTTTGCCATTTAAAAAACACTGTTCCTTGCCTCAAGGAAAGCTGTCCCAGTAACGGAATTTATGGTCTCATAACTCAGGGCTTGTTGTTCAGTATTCGAACGACAACGGAATATTCTGGCATCTGCTTCGAGAGCTGGACTTCATGTCATTTCTGGAACCACAGATCATTTCCATTGACCTGCCGTGGGAAGCGAAGACACCCGCGACAGCTTTTCGATGGTGGCAGCCACAGCATGGTAAGTTGCAGCTCACCGCCACGTTCCTGGTAACTTCCAACTCATGCCTCAGCCACACCCATGTTGTCCAGTGTCTCTTAATTTGCAGTCAATTTCTGTACAATTGGATTTGAAAGCGTGGGTACAAAGATGTTCATATCACTGTGTAATAATGAGCCTTCTCTGGCTCTTTCTTTCATCCAATTGCAGGAAAACACTCGGCCCAGTGGGCTTTGGATGATGTCCTTATTGGAATGAATGACAGCTCTCAAACTGGATTTCAAGACAAATTTGATGGCTCTTTAGATTTGCAAGCCAACTGGTATCGAATCCAAGGAGGTCAAGTTGATATTGACTGTCTCTCTATGGATACTGCGCTAATGTTCACTGAAAACATAGGTATATATTATCACCAGATAAAGGGAGGATATTGGATTAACTAGAACACTAAATTAACTAAACCTCAAAAGGAAACTCTCTAATGCAAAACTGCACACCTAACTGCTTTTGCCAAGAGAGGCTCTTGGGGGAAAGAAGTTGTAATGTCCTCTAAAATAACTTGGTGAGCCCAGTTTATTTTCAGAATGGTGGGTTTAAAAGACTGTAGAATATCAGCCTTTCTCAAGGTGGCAAAACTCTTCAAATTAGCAGCCTTCCATATTTCTGAGTCTACAGTAACCATTTAAAAACAGTAACTACAAAAGCAAAAATCAAAGCATGCATGAGACTCTGAAGATAAGTCATGGTTTTTGTTTGCCGTTGAGAATGCTGATTGCAATCACAATAGCCAAGTAAGAAAAAAGCATTCAGCGTTTGCTTTTTGTTTTGTTTTTTCTTTTTTGGCAGGGAAACCTCGTTATGCCGAGACCTGGGATTTTCACGTGTCAGCATCCACCTTCCTGCAGTTCGAAATGAGCATGGGCTGCAGCAAGCCCTTCAGCGACACCCACAGTGTGCAGCTCCAGTTCTCGGTGAACAACGGCAGGGACTGGCATCTGGTCGCCGAGGAATGTGTCCCTCCAACCATCGGCTGTCTCCACTACACGGAAAGTTCCATTTACACCTCAGAAAGGTTCCAGAATTGGAAGCGGATCACTGTCTACCTCCCACCCTCCACCAAGTAAGAACTGTCATTTGGCTATGTGTCAGGACTTCGGGCTTCCGTCCCCTAACTTAAAAATAATTGTGTCTCCACTCAGGGTCTCTGTTACAGTTCCGTGGTAATTATGCACGGGATGTGCTAGGAGGAAGACAAGAATGAGTGGTCGAGGGTTTACAATCTTTAAATGTGGCCGGAGAGTTCCCCAGGGGTTATCAGGCTGAACTTTTCTGTCCTTTGGCAACGCGAAGGCCACCCGCTAGATTGTTTTGAAACTGTTGTAAGCATCGGTCTCTACCCAGAAGCCAGGCTGACACTGGTTCCCAGTGCAGGATGTGAAGTCTTCACGTGTAGGAGGACACCCTTAGTTTTTCTGGTTTTGTTTTCTCTTAGGACCACAGTATGAATAAAAGGTTTAGTGCCTTTGGGGAATGCTCTTATCACTTTGTGTCTCTCCTGCCCTCCCTGACATTTTGGAGGTGTATGGACCCAGAGCAGGCACTTGGGCCATCTGAGCATTGGTTAGCAGCTGAGGCACACGGTGCTGGCTGGTTCCAAACTGTGTCATCCTGGGACCCTGCCTCCCCCGGGTGCGGGGCTGTTTGTATTCTGGGGAAGTTGGCCTTGGGGGACTCCATGCCTCCTCAGCTGCTGGCTTCCTGCTAGATTTAGACAGTGGTGGACGCTGGCTGGCAAGGGAGGAGGAGGTGGATAAGGGGAAAATCAGAGTTTTCCCTGTCCTCTGTGGGACCTGATCTTCTCCTGTGTCTCTTCAGCCTTGGGCTTCTAGTGGCCTCTGGACTTTGCTAATCTCTGTTTCTACTGGCTTCTCCACGCTGCACTGACCATGTTTCCAGTTCCTGCACGCAATTCTCCCTAAGTTAAATACGCACAGTGGTTTCTGTTTCCCTGGTTAAGTTCTGATTCAGAAATGCATAACCAAATGGCAGGGGAAAAGTGCAAGACAGCAAAGCATCTTAGTATTTGCTGTAAAATGGCTTCCTATAGATTCCCAGAGCTTTATATAGTGCTTGCATATAGCTCATTTGTTTTGTTTTGTTTTGTTTTCTAAACAAATTTAGAAACTGAATTTTAAGCTAGCTTTTCCCACATACAAGCACTCTACCACTGCGCTATATTCTCAAGGCTTTTTATTTTGTTTATTTTGTCACAAGATTGTGCTAAGTTGCCCAGGCTGGCCTTAAACTTGAGCCTCCTCCTGCTGCAGCCTCTCAAGAAGTTGGGAATACAGGCCTGTGCCATCACGCACAGTTCCTTTTGTTTTTTAATTCAACAAAAATGTATTGAATGTTTGTTGTGTTCTAAGTACCCTGATGCCAAGTGAATAAGCTGATGCCGGGGACCATGTGGATTATTTAGGAGACTGGGTATCTGAGCATTATCACAGTGTGTTTATCACACAAAATGAGACAGAGATTAATTCTCAGGGACACTGTTGAAACACAGGAGGATGCTACCCAGGTGTCAGGGGCTGCTTCCCATAGGAGCTGACATCTCCAGCTGATTCTGGGTAAGCAGGGCTTGTCGAAGCAAAGACGGATGTGGGGCGCATTTACACAGCTTTAAACCAAAACAAAACCCAAAGGCCAGCAAAAGCCTGAGCTGGTGTGGAAATTCAAGGATTCAGTGCTGCCAGAATAGAACCCGAGGAGGAGGGGTGCCGGGTGTGTCACCCTAAGTGTTTAGGCCTTGGCAGACCGCGTGTTGGGAACCACCAAAGGCATGACAGTGGTGATGGGAGATTCCTCTGAAAGCCCTCACGCTGACAGCTGGGTCACACTTCTAGAGAACTCATGTGCAGCAGACAGGGCTTACAGTGGCACTGCTGAAGCTCAGCTCACAGCTTCTGCCCACGGGCCGATCCCCAGCAAGGGACTGTGGCTGCGGGTGGTGGGGTTACCTCTGCTTCTGACTCAGTGTCTTCCAAAGAATGGATCAAAGCTCAGCAGGAATTGTGGGAATGTGTCCCGTCAATCTAGTCCTCAGCTTTTGACAGCCACAACATCAGAAGCAAAATAGTAGCCCGAAGTGGGATACTCGCAGAAAATAGTGGGGCGCTCCCAGAAACCATGTAGGAACAGCACAGTGGGGGCCTCCTTGCCTGCACTTTGTAAGCTTCCAACTTTTCCTTGTCTTTGTCACCTTCGATCTCTTTTCCCATACTGAGTAGTAATAAAAACCTGAAAGCCAAAACTAAAAGTCTACTTGGATCTCAAAATCACAATAAACCAATTCTCAGCGACTTTTCCACCTGTAGACTCCCAGGCAAAAAGTGGTAAAGGAGTTCAGTAGCGCGCTCTCTGCTCAGCTCTTTCTGGATGGAGCTGAAACGGCGCCAGCTGCCCAGGATAAAAGTGAAGTCTCCAGGAAGAGGGAGCCAGACCCTGGGGGAGGGAGGGTACTTTGAAGGGAAAGGGGAGGGCACATGGATGCCCGTGCTCTCAAGACTTTGTCAAGCCAGTGATGTGTTTTCTTGGTCAGTTCTCCCAGGACACGGTTCAGGTGGATCCAGGCCAACTACACGGTGGGCGCCGATGCCTGGGCTATCGATAACGTCATTCTGGCCTCGGGGTGCCCATGGATGTGCTCCGGACGAGGGATTTGTGATGCTGGACGCTGTGTGTAAGTTCACCAGCGGTTTCTCTCTGTGCAACGCCCTGGTAAAACCAGCCCAGTGCACGGTGGTGAATGAGCCCTTTTTTCCTTAGGTGTGACCGGGGCTTCGGTGGACCCTACTGTGTCCCCATCGTGCCGCTGCCCTCGATTCTGAAAGATGACTTCAATGGGAACTTACACCCCGACCTTTGGCCTGAGGTGTACGGTGCCGAGCGAGGAAACCTCAATGGGGAAACCATCAAATCCGGAACCGCTCTGATTTTTAAAGGGGTCAGATAAGATTCCACTTCTTTCTGCCACTGCGGTCCCCTCCTCACGCACTGCTCCACACAAGGGCATCTCTGAACCTGTCCCCATGACGCCCGTGTCGTATGTCACTGTCTTGCAGCTCAAATCGTGTTTCCCTTTCTATTAAGTGCAGACACTTTTTGTAATCACTTGGGCAGAAAACTTCTCCCTCTCCTTTGGTGACCAGATCACAATATTTTAAAAACTGTTTTTATGAAAAAAAAAATCTTTCATCTTTTTTCTTCTTTTTCCATCCAGCTAATGAACTACTGGGTGGCAACTTTAAGGAAACCACCCATTTAAGTCAAATACTGTTAGTGTGTTTTTGCTTGTCACCTACCTGTCTAGTTACAGAAATGTTAAACCGCTGACGAAACTCTGTGCTCAGCCGCAGACCTTCCTGTATGAACCCAGGCTGCACGCTGTCCCTCTCTGCAGGGGAAACTGAGTAATCTAAGTGTGCAAATTAAACCATTGACAAAAATCTGCATGGGTTTCATACAACCTTAATGACTAATATCTAAGACTCAGAAAATTGGACACCCTGGAACTTTTTCAATTATGGTGAATACATGCCAGGTTTCAGTCTTCTTAGAGTCTAAATGCTTAATGAAGTATTAGATAAGAAAAGAAAAATGCACGAGAGAGTGATACAGTTGGCAAACTGAAGAAACTGCAGTCTTAGAACACTTCGGAATGGAAAACCCTGGTTTTCACTTTTGGTTTTAGTCTTGTTTAAGGCCACAGTGTGTTATCATCATCCAACTTCTGACTCGTTTGAAGAAACTGACAAGAGCAGAAATCCCTGTAACTTTTCATGATTCAAGAATCTTTGCCTGATAAATTTTTAAGCAGCACAATTAACCTAGCCCTATAAACAGCAGGACACATAGTCTTTTATAAAATGTTCCCTTTAGCCATCCAGATGCAAGAGCAACCAAGCGTTATTGTGTCGGGTGTATTATCCAGCAGCTCTGCAAGATGGAGAGGGTCCAGGGTGTGCCATTCAGTAGGCTGCATTTGACCTAGAAAGGCATTCTTTCATGAAAAAGGAAATGATAGCCTCTTTATAGATTCAGGAATACTATCAGCTATTAAAATACCTCATTGGTTGCAAAAGGATTCTTCACATTTGGCAGACATGAATCGCTGCACCTAGAAAAAAGATGAACAAAGAAATGTATCTTTGTGAACAGCATCTATGTGTGGCAGCAGGGTTTGACCAATATCAGGCACTAAATTATAATCAAACATTGCAAATAGGAAAGAAAGATACTTTCATATTACAGATCATGCCCAACAAAATTGCTCCTACTAAAAGCATTATGAAGTAGGTCCTTTCATGGGTAACTTGTATTTGCCCATGTGAACAACTGTGTATTTTCATTCCATAATTAAGGGGCAAGAATAATAAAGTAATATCCCTTTATCTTGATGTTAGCAAGAGATGTTATTAGCTAAATCCATAGATTACCCACTACAAAGGTTTTCGTTCAACAATGAAGAAGACACCTTGCCCTGCCCCCGCAACCTCCACTTGCCACTAAAATGTAAGAGGACACACAACTTGATGCTTCTGTGTAGAACAGGAAAAGGGACAGAGACGGGAGAGTAAGGCACCGACTGTGCATCATGGATAGAACAAGGCACAGAAGGTAAACAAGGGGTGGAAATGTAAAGCTTTCATGGCAGCCTTCAACCCCAGAAGTACGAATCTACGGCTTGTAAAGTTGAAAAGAGGAAGTAAATATGATTGCTTCTTCATTACAACACCAAATAACTCTCAGATTCTAAATTTATCATCTGGATTTCTTCTCTTGCAATCAAAAGATAGGTTAATGGGAAAAACATTGGTGTCTTACGAAGAATAGAGGATAGGCTTCAGGATCTGACATCTGCAAGTTCACATACTACCATCATCTCTTATAAACTGAATTTGAGTCTTCTGATCTGAAACATGAGACTAATGTCCTTCTCTTAAGTAGGAGCCATTAGTACTTTGAATAAGTACCTGTTATGAACCCGGCACGTTGTAGGCATTGGTATATGTTTGCTGTTCTCAAAGAAGCTCTATTTAAAAACTTTTCAGCTGTTGAACACTGTGATATGTAGTAAATGTTAAGAAGGAAAAATGTGCTCTTGCTCACTAATGTTACATTTGGCATTTGTTAGTCAGATAATAAATCAGTGGACAGTGTTCACTGAGCATCCCAGCCGTAGACCACTCTTCATTCAGAACTCAGAGCTGAGAAACAAGCCCCCTTTGGACCTTGGGACATATGCGTAGTGAGATGTCTTCCTGGCTGTCACCGCAACCCCGTGTACACATGAAGAGAACAACCTTTCCAGCTGTCAGTCCCAGGCAACCAGAAATAGTTAATTAGCAGAAAAAATTGCTAAAGCTAATGTGATCTCTTTTCTCGTTGCTTGTCTTCTCTGCATGAATGATTCCGGCGCAGGCCCGGGGACCTGCCTTAGTTACGCCTTATTTAACTTGGCCAACTGGGGGTGTTGTGGCAGCCGGAATGAGCACCTCACAAAGGAGTAGTGAATTTCTTAGACTCGGTGGGACCCTGAAAAGTTACTTATTAGTTCCTGGCCTCCAACAGGAGCTCTGGGCCCATTTTCCACCTGCTTCCTCCTTGCTTCCCACACATGCTGAGATCAAAGGAGGTGGTTTTTAAAAGGCCTGTAGATATATAATGCTGTCATCTTTGCAGCACTTTTAGAAAAGTCACAGTAAAGTATGACTTAGAGGTGAGACAATGGAGTTATATTACTCAAGTGTAGGAAACAAAGGCCATTAAGAAACAAGGAACAAGGGCTGTTCAGGTTTTCCTTTTGAAATAGAATATTGCTTCTCCATCATTATATTTGTTTCTTACTTAGCTAATGCACGTTAGCTAAGTTAGGTGTACAAAGCCAGAGGAAAATTCTGCAAATCCCGTTGTTTAACATGTGTCTGTTTGTTTTCAGGAAGGACTAAGGATGCTTATTTCAAGAGATCTAGATTGTACTAGTACTATGTACGTCCAGTTTTCACTTAGATTTATAGCAAAAGGTAAGCTTTTCTGTGTGTATTAATTCAATATTTCACTTCAAGATAATTCCCCCATGTATAATTCCTCCTCCACAAAGAAATTGCAGATTTAAGGGCCCATAAATTTTGCTATGGAAAAGCTAGCATAAATTTGTATACATAAATGTTCACAAATATTTGTTTTAATGTATGGAGAAGATAATTACTAATGTTAAATGATTTAATACAGCTGTAGTAACTTAACTACTAATTCTATGGTAGTTAAATTTATCACTATGTTCCTGAGTTCACTACTTTCTGGCTGGAAGAATTTTGAATTTTAAAAGCGGTTAATTTATGGAAATTTTGGATTTTCGATAGCTATGAAACTAAAAACCTATTCTTGGTCCTTCTGACTTTTCATATTTCACTAAATGATTCTGTAAAATCTTTGTGAACAGCATCTATAATCTCATTTTGTAAAATAATCTTACGGATATAATAAATTTTCAAGTAGTTTTTCTGTTTGTTTTTATTCTAACAGTTAAATGTTTGACCCCCCCTTGTAAGATTGTGATTCCATATATAATCAGAATGTTTTGATATACTGTCTCCTAAAAACAGAAAGATGTATAGGCATATCAGAAGGAGAAAGGGACGTATCATCCTGTGAAAGTCGAGGATTTTGATGTGTTCTTTGAGAAAATATATATAAAAACCCAGCCTGTTGTTACTTTCAGCCTTGAAAGTATCTGGACTGTAAAGTGTCTGTGTAACTGTGCATTGGCCCAGGCACGATGTCTAAAGAATCAGCTAAGAATATAGTCTCCCCATATTTATCACAGCACGTCTTACACCGTCTTATCTCCTTTGTAGGTACCCCGGAGAGGTCTCACTCCATCCTACTCCAGTTCTCTGTCAATGGAGGAATCACTTGGCACCTGATGGATGAATTTTACTTCCCTCAAACGACTAACATTCTTTTCATTAATGTTCCTTTGCCATCCAGTGCCCAAACCAACGCTACACGATTCAGACTTTGGCAACCTTATAATAATGGTAAAAAGTCATGTGTTCTGTGATCAAAACAGACAGTGGCATGTCAGTGTGCTACTTCGAAGGTGCAGAGAAAGGATCTGTCAGCTGAGAGGGCTAGTCCATAGCACATACATTTCACTTTTGACCTGTCTCAATGCGTATTTAATTTATATATCTTTATCCTTTGTAGCTGACTGGTAGGTTCTGTTGATGTTATAAATATAGCTGAATCCTGGCAGAGTTTTTTTTAATAATCCAGCAGTAACAATTAGGTTTTCATCAGGTGTAACGACATTATTGTTGAAATCATTCAAGAGTACATAGTTCTTCTGAGCTTGGTACCTTATTAGTGAAATAGAACACTACAGCAAAATGCCATAGCAAAGTGAGATGGGCTTAGATCCAGGAGATAGTACCTTGTAAAATATTCTAGTCACATCCATGTACTGTAGCCTGACCAAAGCGTGATGCTAAGAAGCCATGGCTTGACCCCACAAAGCTATGAGTTTCCCCTTGGATAGAACAGTAGTGTACTTCGGTTGTAGGCCTACTGACTGTTCATCTACATAGATCACATGCCTGACAGATTCCTCCAAACCACCAAACACCATTCAGCCCCATGCTACTGGTGAACACAGTTGGAATGGACATGACAGCACACTTTCCCAAGCTGTTTGTCACAGCTTTCTGAAATCAGTGCAGTAGATCTGTGCTGTGTCAATTAAATATAGTCGCAGGCTTATCCTATGGTCGGTGGACCTTCTCTAGAAGGGATGTGTTTAAACTATTGTTACTGAGTTCCTTCTGTCCTTTATTGTCTTCCAATGAGCAAAAATATCCACCTGATTTTCATCCTGGGAAAAACTTGCTTTATTCCCAAAATGCTTTAGGTAAAAAAGAAGAGATCTGGATCATTGATGACTTCATTATCGATGGAAATAATTTGAACAACCCTGTGATGCTTCTGGACACATTTGACTTTGGACCCAGAGAAGACAATTGGTTTTTCTACCCTGGTGGGAACATTGGTCTTTACTGCCCATATTCTTCCAAGGGAGCGCCGTAAGTGTTTAATTGAAAAAGCTAAAAGTAAAGCCACAGCCACTGCTCGGTACAAATCGTGATGAATCGTTGCCTGAGCGGATTCCTTGTTGTTTTGTTGAATAACAGCGAAGAAGATTCAGCCATGGTGTTTGTCTCCAATGAAGTGGGGGAGCACTCCATCACCACCCGTGACCTCAGTGTCAATGAGAACACCATCATTCAATTCGAGGTATTTCACTCTGTGCTAGTAGAAATATTCTAACTCATGTCGTGAACAAAGGCTAGGAAAGAAGAGGAAAATCTCAGATGAGTTCATGCATTATGACTTCCCATTTTTGTGCAAGGACATAAAAGGTTTAGGTATCTTTTATATCAGAACCAACTGCCACCTTCATGTTTATTTCTGGGTTTTTTCACTTTATTTCCTACATCATTTCCCCACCTACTATAATGAATGGACATAAAGTATTCTAAACATTGTAAACTGCAATTGATGGCTGGGGATATAGCTCAGTGACACAGCACCTGCCTGGCAAGCGTGAGGTTCCGGTCCAAAAAAAGATTCAATTGTTTTTATTATTCTGGTATTACTTTCACTGCTTTTATGTGAAACTTAAAATAATCCCGTCCCGCCTCGTGCCCACCTTGTCATTTCCCATTTTTCCACACCTTAGACCCGCCTCACCTTGGAGTTTTCTCTAGAAAAGACGGAGTCCTCAGGACCCACTCAGGACCCCTTCTGTCTCTCTCAGACAGAAGCTTGCTTTCTCTCAATAAATATATTCTGTCTTAACCTCCGCTGATCCTCAAATTCATTCTTCGATTTTAGAGAACACACTCATAAAGGACATCTAGCAGGCTGGGAGTTTGTTTCCCCTGTATTGTTTTTATTATTTTGCTAATAAATATTTTGACAATTAATGAGAATTCAGAAGCCAAAAAATAATATTTTTAGGACTCACGTCAGTGTCCTATACCATGTTAGCATATCTACATAGTATTTATCATGCTGCCATGAATTTTGCAGATAAAAATGTACAGTCTATGTAATTTTAAATATACTTGCTTTGTGTATTTTATTAGCATTCATACTCCCCTTAATATTTGTCCAGAAAGCAAATTAATATAAAATTGTTTGTATTTTTCATATTACAAACATTCAGATAAAAGTCAGTGAAGCCAAAGGCACGTGATGCCTGTGTTTTGTAACTGAGCCTACCTACTTAACAATCCACCACACAATCAAATATGTGGGGGTTTTTTTGGTTTTTTTGGTTTTTGTTTTTTTGTCTTTTTCCTTTTTATCGGTACCGAGGATCAAGCTCACGACTGCCTGCTTGCAAAGCAGGCGCTCATGCCGCTGAGCTAAATCCCAAGCCCCTTCGAATATGTGTTTTATTTGTCTGCCTGCATCCCCTAACTTAGAATTATTTCTTGAAACCTTAAAAGTTAAAGACCAAATGATTCTCAGGGGGAAAATAATTATGTTTATTTTAAACTTTCTGTTACATTTTCTAATATTATTTTATGCGTTAAATGCTTTTAAAAGGTAGGACCTTTGTCGCTTTTTAAGAGCTCTCTTATCAAAAGAATTCTGGTAGAAATAAATTGCCTCTAATTGAAAAGTTTATCAGATGCCAGTTGTTTACTCAAAAGATAAAAAGAGTAAGTTCACACGCACACGCGCACACACACACACACACACACACACACACTACATATCCACAGCGAGTTTCTACAATAGTACAAAAATGTTAATCCCCATTTGAACAGGGAGATTTTTCATAGGAAGAAGCACATGCATTCATTTCAATTTTAGTGCAGAGCACTTGAAAACATGGAGGGAAGAATGAAATGGTGATTTTCCTATTAGTTTGAAAGCTCCTTCCACAGAAAAAGAGTATTGCAGGTTATTGGGGCGGGAGGGAAAGAGGAAATGGGAGAAGTAGCCAAAAGATGCGCACAAACTTGTTTTATCTAGAGAGCTAATATATGGCGTGAGGATTATAGTTAAAATCATTGCACTTTTTAATGAAAGTGTGCTAGGAGGATAGATTTTAAGTGCCCTTAATAAATGTGGGTGGGCATACACACATGGTGGACAGTTTGACTTGCTTAACTATAATAGTCACTTTATATTATATCATAATAGCATTTTATATCAAAATAGTATTGTGTCAAAATAGCCTTTTGTCAACCTTAAATACGTAGTCTTTTAAAAGATCTTTCCTCGTACCTGGGAAATAATAATGTGGATTATACTGTCTTGTTTTGATATTGAATATACATTGAAGAGTCTTTTGGGGTTGCTTGGAAGTTGTCTTAAGAGAATGGGGTATTCCTACGTAGTAGACTGGGGGGACGGATAAGAGGGTTCAGGAAGCAGCCTTTTCACTAGTTTGGTTGGGTTACAAAACTGGGCCAGAGGTAAAATTTGGAATTATCTCAGCCTTTGCCTTTTCTACTTCCTGGTTTATTATAAAATGAGGGAAATAAAATTTTTATGACGTTCTTTATGAACAAAAAATTGTAACTTCAAGGTAATATATGATTTTACTCAGGCAAAGCAGAATCTCGTAGTGATAAATATTTCAGCAAAACAGCTCCCAGGAATGCGGACTCCAGACACCAATGACGTGATGAGTCATTTCACAGCTGTTGCTCTGAAGTAATCTGTGTCTTTTATTTTTCTTTCTTTTATCCCTAGATCAATGTTGGCTGCTCCACTGATAGCTCCTCTGCTGATCCGGTCAGACTGGAATTTTCAAGGGACTTCGGGGCCACCTGGCACCTGCTGCTCCCCCTCTGCTACCCCAGCAGCAGCCACCTCAGCTCCTTATGCTCCACCGAGCAGCACCCAAGCAGCACCTACTACGCGGGAATCACCCAGGGCTGGCGGCGGGAGGTCGTGCACTTTGGGAAGCTGCACCTTTGCGGGTGAGGCTGCCTGCCGCCTGGCTCTGCTCCCCAGTCTCACTTGAAGCAGTGCAATAGATATGACAAACAGGACTCAGAGCTGATCCAACTACTAACTTACGGTTAGAGCGCATGGAGGGTCACAGAGTCCCGAGGGCATTATCCCACCGTGGGTCCTTATCAGATCAAATGGGAAGCAACAGAAACACAGTTTTCCCCTAATGTTCTGCAGTCTCCCGCCAAGTGTCCCCACTCCATAGGATAGACACAGTTAGAATTTAGTGCACTGGAACACCCAGCTGTATTTCTCATGTAGGAGAGGGCGTGTGTGGAGGATGGGACCCCCCTTGGCATATTCCTGGTGCTTCATAAAAAGAAAAATCATTAGCACTTGTCCCTCAGGCGTTTCCACAGTTTCAGCCCGTCTCGGCATTCTCGTTACATGTATTTGACTCTGCTGTTGAAAAGCTTTTTGGAGATAAAGGACTTCACTCCTAATAGAAATGAAATGAAGAGTATAGTTCAAAAAATAAAACTAATAATAAAACTTGAACAAAGGGAGGAAGTCAACAAAGCAGCCTGCCTCAGAATTGCTGTCTTTTCTTTCAGAATAGAGAATTCATTCTTTCAGAATATGTAAAAAAAAAAAAAGAAGAAAGTAGCAGTATCATACTTTCAAGATGGAAATAATCTTATATTCCTGACGTGAAATCGAATATCATTAGAAGTTTTAAGTCTTTTGAGCCAAACAACGAACACTTAATACTTTTCCAAAAAAGAGTGAAAGGGAATTTTCAAAAGTCCAAGTTCGCTTGAAACATAAATCCAATTCACTGCCCATCTCACTGCATCATTTTCATCATTTGATTGTTACAGACCTAAATATTTTCCATTGTCCACGTCACTTACTAATCTTTGCTATTACATCAGAACATCATTCTAATAGAAAATCCATATTTTTTATAAAAACATATACATTACTAAGAAATGTATATATTTCATCTATATAGATATGTAGCTACATAGATATATAGATATGGTTCTTTAGGAATCATAGCCAGAAAAGGCAAAGAGCATCTCGAGAGATCATATGAGTAGGCAGAGCTACTAACTCAGCCAGGCATGGCTGGAAAGCTATGGTTGGTTGGGACAATTAAGCATAGAAGAGTTGAGCAAGAGAAACAGCTTAGCAAAAGCTTTTTATCCTAAATCTGTAATATTAAAAAAAATTGCAAGAAATATAAAAATTCTTAACCAAAAACAGAAGAATTTATTGACAAGATCCTGGGAGATTAAAATTATACAGGCTCCATTCAGGAAATACTCTCTGAGAACCTAGTAACTGTGGTTTGTGATCCCCATTTCTAAGGTGCAGCCGTGAGCATCACATGACAAACCGCAGCCCCCAGTATCTGTCACTCTTGAGGCTAAGAAAATCTGGAGTCAGCTGTGACCAGAAACCCAAAATAGCATCAAAAGGACACAGGGAGAAAGTGCGACCACAGAGCAAACTCTCTCAAACACAGAAATAACCTTCTGTTGTTTATAAGCTATCCAGCTTATGTTGTTTTGTTATAGCAGCACAGACTAAGACACCTTGGACTATAATCTCCAACCTGACTCCATCATGGGTTTGCTGGAAAGCATAGCATTTTTCCTTTCATAGACCTCAGGTTTCCTCAAATTTCCCTGTTAAGAATACTTAAATAGGAGAGTCTGGGAAGATGGCGGAACAGTAAGCAGCAGAGTAAATAACCTTTCTGAGAGAAACAGTCCAGGTGCTGGAATATAGCATTCTGGAGAAGAGAAGGAGGAAAGAAGCAGATCCCCTCAACCCAGGAAGGAACTAAAGTGAGAACTGAAGCCCACTGAGAGAATAAAAAAAAATGAAAGAGAAATCTAAACAGAAGAAGGTGGTAGCTGGCCGTGCTTTCACTGGCGCTGGAACCACGGTGCCAGAAGCGCTGTTAGCACTCGGAGATGCCTGGGCACGGTGAAGCTGGTGGCTAGCAGGCCCAAAGGCCTTGGCAGGCAGACACGGTGGCAGAGGAGAGCAGCAGACCAGAGACCTGCACTGGCTGGTAGGTGTGTGGGACTCAGTTTCTCCCACAGAGGTGGAAGATTGGCTGAGTGCCCTTTTGGATTTGGGCAGAGTACGCCTGGAGACAGAACTGTAGCCGGCTTCATTCAGCCACTCCTACTCAGAGCAGACTGGTGGAAATTGCTTGGACTGAGTTCCACCCCTCTGTGTGGTCCAGTAGCCACTGCAGAGGTTTCCCTAAAGCTCTCTCTAACCACCCACTAGGTGCACACTAACTTGGTTAAAACTCTCTGTGGTTAACCAGTTCAGAAGGGAGAGGCCAGCCTGCCCTGCCCCTGCTTACAGTCCATAGCCACCAGCAGACAGGGAAAAGCAGCAAACAGCAAAATTCCCTAGCCAACACACTTCAGAGCAATTATAACCAATACAGGAAGTGCCGGGGACCCTGCTACCCACTTGTCCAGAAGAAACCAGGAACATGACAGGAGGAAGAAGCAAAAGGCAGTCTCTGGCCTCCAACCCAAGCAGTACTGGTCCAGGAGAGGTAAACACAGAAGAAATTGAGAGTTGCACACCTGCAGTTTTTGAAGCAAAAGCAACTGAAATAAAGAAACAATTCCATGAAGCTATAAAAGAACTTAGAACAAATACTATTACAGGTAAAAGAAGATATGAGAAGCATAATAAAAGAATTGCTAAGCACCTCTAAAGAAGACACAGATGAAAGAATAGAGGAGCACAGAAAAAGGAAGGAAACCTTCAATGAAGAGCATAAAAAAAATTATAACACATGCAACAGATTCAAAGAGATACCAGGAAATTAAAAACTCCATTAAAAGCTGTCAAAACTGCTTGAAAGAAACTAAGGATAGACTATCAAACCTTGAAGACAGGTTTGCAATTTGTGATTACAAAAGGAAAAATCTCTTAAAAATAACAAGGAACCAGGAAATAACAATATAAAGGCTAGAGGATGACAAGAAGATCTATAACTTAAGAATAAAAAATGTGAATGAGGAAGCATGGGTAACACAAATGAAATACAAAGGCTATTTACAGAAATAAAGAGAACTCTCCAAGCACAGGAAAAGGAAATGATATTCAGATATGTGAGGCATTCAGAACTCCAGCCAGCTACAACCAAAATAGGTCTACACCCAGACATACAATAATCAAGATCCCAGGAATTCAACACAAGAACAAACTATTAAAAGCTGTCAGAGAAAAGAAACAGATCACCTATGAAGGAAAACCCATCAGAATCACTGCAGACTTCTTAACACAAACCATCAAATCAAGAAGAGACTGGAGTGAAGTATTAAAGTCCTGAAAGAAAATAACCTCCAACCCAAATTGATGTATCCTACAAAACTATCTCTCAAAATTAACGGAGAAACAAAACGCTTCCATGACAAAGAGGAACTGGGGGAGTTCGTGACCACCAAGCCAGTCCTACAAAATATACTGAAGGACATTGAGGGGAGAGAGAGAAAAGACCATGGTTTCAGGAACAGCGGCAGAGGGGCTCGCTGAACGGGGCAGACGGTGGAACGAAGGGGAAAGTAGACAACCAACGGCAGAAAAATAGCACGGCAGAGATGAGGAGAGAAGGTTGGCCATAGTCACTAATATGGATGGCTTCAGTTCACCAATAAAAAGAAACACAGGCAGAGTGGATCAGGAGACAGGGTCTGTCAATATGCTCCATATTAAGAAAAATTAATCAGAAAGAAGGTTTATAGACTGAGAGTCAAAGATGAGAAAACAATGCTCTGTGTGACAGGGAACCAGATAAAAGTGGGGGTATCTTGCCCATCAGCTGCAGATTAGCTAAAAAGCCTTAACACTTTGATACAATGGAAAACTACTCAGCTATAAAGAAAGAAAACCTTGAGGCTCTTGTAGGTAAATGGACACAACCTGAGATAATGCTCAGGGGTAAAAAGTTTCAGAATCACTTAGGTGAATGGTGGGCTGCCTCCCTAATCTAAAAACTAAAGGAGTTAGTATACAAAAGGCATAATGCACCCTGTGAAAGTGAAAGGGGAGGAATTGTCTAAAAAGGGAAGGCAGAGGACATCGTTAATCTTTTATCATGATTTGAAACCCATATTGTTTTCATTGTTCTGTTTAGTTTGGTTTTATTCTGTTCCAGTTTGTCTTCTTGTATTAGATTGATAACATGGACAGCCATTCCAAAGATAGCAGGATATATTATGGGAACCATTTTTGATTTCTTATTAACTTGATTTGAAGCCCTGTATTGCTTTCACTGTCTTGTTTTGACTGATTTTAGTCTATTCTAGTCTGAGGGTATAGGCAACTACCTTGAAGACAATAAGATGCACTATGATGCCCATTCTGGTTTGACTATTATCTTCTTTTGAAGCCCTCTAATATCTGCAATATTTCATTCTTTAAAAAAAAAGAATACGTAAATAGCAAATAACCTAAAGAGAGGTTTTAGGCCACAGTTTTAGATATTTTTGCCAACTGTGACTCACTGCAATAAGTTCCCACAAGGAAATAATTCTATCAAAATGATGGGAAGTAAGTGACAGTACACTGGGACAGGGCAGCAGTGTCACAAAGACGACCTCACTTAGCATTTGATGACATCCATGGTGTCGTGTTCACACCTAAAACCTGGCGATTTAATTTTGAAACTGGAGCAGGAGAAATGCAGACATCTGTATTTCATCCACTGGTAAAAAATCTACCTATAAAGCCCAGCTTTAATCTGAGCAACTATTTTGAAGATAACAATATGAAGTACATTAATCATTGTTAATCTTTTGTGTTGTTTTGAAATTCCACATCATCATTTTTGTTCTTTCTTCATTTTAAAATTAAAAAACAAGTTTGTTATAGTGCAGGGAATTTAGACTGCCATGTTATTTATGTTCCTGTCATTTTCATTTCTATGAAAAGAAATTAAATGGTCTAAGAAGGTAGACCACTCTCAGAATGGTATAAACCTTCCTTTCAAATTGTCTCCAACCATTTTTCTGAAGGGAAGAATATGCCTTAATAGTGTTGTCTAGTCCTTGTCTCAGGAAAAAAGAATTAGCACTGTTCTTAAAACTCACACAGGCATGAATTGCTGGAAGGCAAAAGTTAAATTTTCTCCAACTCACTGAACCGTTCCTTGGTTTGTATTCACAATGGCACAAGTGCTAGCTGCTACAAAAAAAAATGCAAAAATCCATGGTGAAATCACTCTTTCCTATGACTTACTGGACACTAGACACACACACACACACACACACACACACACACACACACACACACACACACACGTATGTTAAATGTTTCAGGAACCAAATGGCCGTTTGTCTTTTTGCAGTTGCATGGGAAATGTAAGTATTGAGCTTCCATCTAATTTATTCTCATCACCTTTGGGTGCTTTAGAGTCTTTTTGGCTTTAAAGCTTTCTAATTGTCAACTTAATGCAGCTTCATAATGAGTCCACCCCAAACCCTATTTCATGGCAGTGATTCATGGCAGTGTTGTGTACTGGAAACTTTAAGTTTCTTTTTAAAAGCAGATCCTTTGAACGCCCCTGCCTTGGGAGAACAGGTGCTGACAGTTCACCAAGGAGCACGGCAGTGGGAGATGCTTAAAATAAGACCTCAGCAGAAGGAAACCACAGTGAAACCAGACTCCTCTGCCTGTTTATCATAGTGCGCGCAGTTTCTGTGTCAAGACAGGTGAACAATAATAAATATCCAACCAAGGGCGTTCATTTGTATTCAGAACATTTGAATAAATAAGAAGTTCAAAAAAGTCTGTGCAGGCTTTTGTTCAAAGGAAGACTCCAGCCATTTCCCTCAGCTCAGCAGTCTGAAAGTTCAGAAGGGAAGAAGTGCTTCTTGCCAAGACTAAACTCTGACGAATACTTGAAAATAAAGTTTAATTACAAACTGGTGTTTTGGGGCCAACTTAAATTAATAGAGATGGAATCTCAATATAAACAATGAAATAAAATTTAAAAATATATGTGAAAACTTGACTCCACCTGCTCTACTATCTATTAAAATTTAGAAGCTTAACAAATAGATTTCACTCTCAAAACACACCAACTTTTGCTTCTAGTTTCTGTTTGTTAAATAAAACACTATTTAAAATTAGTTTCTATGATGACTGGAAATTGAGAAAATTCATAGACCATGAAAATAAGTGCATATGCCATCTCTATTACCTTCTTCTAAACTAAACCTTTTTTGAAACAAGTTCTATATAAGATGCATTAAACTATTTATGGATTGCTACCTAAATATGTGGATTATTTCAAGGGAGGGAAGTTTATTAGTACTAATAAGACAATATATTTTATTTTTTTAACAAATTAAGAAATGAGACTTACAAAGCAATCTGATTTTTCTCACTGTTTTTCTTAAACGTTTCCTGAACTCTTACTGCAGTGTAAGAAGCCCTACACTGGACACCATAAACAGGAAAGATGGGTACTGACCAGTGTCACTGCCAGTAAGGGAAACAGGCACACTTTAAATCCTCAGCTGTGATAATGATGATGAAAAACCCCATCCAGATTATGAAGGACAGAGTGGGAGAAATTAAAGGAAAATTTAAAAAAGAAAATAAAAACAATTCTGCATACCCTTGTACCCAAAAGAACTGCAAGCAGGTATTTCAGCAAATAGACTATTTTCTGAATGTTCATAGCAGCACTATGTATAATAGCCAAAAGGTAGAAATACCCAGATGCTCATCAACTGATGAATGGATAATGTTGTTAGATCCATCTGATGGACTATCATTCATTCATAAAAAAAAAAAAGAATGAAGTTCTGATAGGTGCTGTAACATGTATGACCCCTGGTCACATGCTAACTGAATGAAGCCAGACACAAAGGTTACATATTGTATGGTTCCATTTGTCTAAAAAGGTGAGTGCAGAGACAGTGACCAGATTGGTGGCTGCCAGGGAGGAGTGAACGGGGGATGACTGCTACGAGGTATGGGCTTTCCTTGTGAGGTGACGAAAATGTCTTGGAACTAGATAGAGGTGAACAACACTGTGAATGCGTAAGCGCCATTAAACTGTACACTTTAAATGACTGATAGTTAATTGTATGTTAAATGAATTTAACCACGTACTTATGAAAGACTCATCAGGCAGAGTATAGATAGTAGGGGGAGAGAAATCATCAATGGAGTCAACTGTAAAAGGTGGGAAGGTCAGGTAGACTTTTCAGGTACTGACAGAATGGAGAAGGGCTCGGAGGAAGAGGAAGCTCCTTGGTAAAATGTTACCGACGGAGGAGGTTTTGTTCCTGAAATGGCAAATCATCTGTGTTCCTGAGTGGGGTGCCTCGGAGGTGACTGCCCAGTGCATCCACCAGTGGACCTGTTCTGAAAGTCCTGGTTCTGTTGACTGACTGCTGAAGGACTGTTTCTCTTTTCCAGATCCGTGCGTTTCAGGTGGTACCAGGGCTTTTACCCCGCTGGCTCTCAGCCGGTGACGTGGGCCATCGACAACGTCTACATCGGTCCCCAGTGTGAAGAGATGTGCAGCGGGCACGGAGGCTGCATCAACGGGACCAAGTGTGTGTGTGATCCCGGCTACTCGGGGCCGGCCTGCAGGGTTAGCACCAAAAACCCCGATTTCCTCAAGGACGATTTTGAAGGTGATCTTTTCTCCTCCGTTCTGGGTAGCTCTGTGAAAGAAGTTATAAACACAACAGAGAATAATCAGGTGCTACTCTACTGTTTAAGTATTATCATTATGATTGTACACACCCGCGAGTTCCTTTAGTTCAGAATTTTCATAAGGCTCCATTTCTGGAATGTGTTTAGCGGGAGAAAATAAGGCCTTAACTGAGAAAAATTTAAAGCTATTTTGACCGTTTTTATACCACAAGTAAAGTCTGATTAATGATAATTTTCAAACTTATCTCTAGAAAATAAATATCTCTAGAGGGCTAATTTTCTTGTGTGGAAGAAATGAGTCTTTAAAAATCTAAGCTCCTGTCACTGCTTTTCCACCAACTCATTAAATAACCTCTCATCCCTTTCTAGGCCTTAGTTTTGTGCTCGGAATCCAGCATCTTCTTGTGTAAAAATAATGTTACATTCCACTGTATGAATGTTCACTTTATATGCTTTAATTTAGTGATATGGACAACTGTTTCTGGGAAGATAATGTGTAGCCTGTTAACTGGTGATTTCGTACTGTATATATTTTTTTCTAGAAATACTGTATTATTTGTACCCTTTCACTGCATTGGGGTTTTTTTTTATGTCCTTTCTTTTTTTTTTTTTCCTTCTCTCTTTAAATAAAAAAAAAGTTACAAAGTACAAAAATGCATATGACTGAAAAAAAACCCATCTTAATTGTAGATGTGCTCATTCAAAGTGAGAAAGTCACATATGATGGCTGAGCATATTAACATACACTATAATATATTAAAATATTATCAAAAACAGTAGGCTAAATGGAAGAAGCTAGACACAAAGGCCAGATACTCTATATTCTGTTTATGTGAAATATCAAAAATGCACAAATTCATGGAGACAGAAATGAGATTGTGGGTATGGGTGGAGAAGACGGAAAAGGATGGGTTAATTTGTGAAGATTTTTGGAGGGATGTTACAAAGCTTGAACTGGGAGTGGAGCTTCCCTGGGAATGCACCAAAGGCCCCTGCATCATTCACTTTGAAATAGTAAATGTGATAAGCTTTAGGTTTTATGTATTTTGCCAGAACAAAATAATTAAATCTAAGTTGAGTACCTGAATAGATTTGAGAGCTGGCTTTGGAAGATTGTATTTAATAAAAACTATGAAGTTCTGTCTACAAAACAGTGTTTTAATATTTTGTTACTCTTTCCTCATCCTGTGCTCAGAGACAGGATACTATTTATACTATTAAAAAAGACACAGTGAAGAGTCTCCCTCCTGCCTACCATGTGGACTCCTAGACCACAAACTCAAACTAACTAGGATGTCTAGGAGACCTCATGTCCTAAAATATGCTTTAATACTTGTGACTTTGTATTTTAAAGCTACACAATGCATTTACTGTGTTTCTTTTAAAAATATAACATGCTATACTCGGGGTCACAAGTAATTCACATTTTCACTATTTCAGGTCAGCTGGAATCTGACAGATTCTTACTGATGAGCGGGGGAAAGCCATCCCGGAAGTGCGGAATCCTCTCCAGCGGAAACAACCTCTTTTTCAACGAAGATGGCTTGCGCATGCTGATGACCCGAGACCTGGACTTGTCACATGCCAGGTAATGCCTGGAAAGTCCCCCTGTAACCATGTAGCCATAATCAGATCAGACAGAAGCACCAAGATCTCAGGAAAAGCTCTTCCGTTAGAGATGCTGGGCTTCTCTCTGGTCACAGCTTCCATTAAGACACCATTCACATCATCTCCAGTCCCAAAACAGAGACACCACAGCAGAAATGAAACCTAGCTACACAGACAAATCAAATATGGGTTACTTTATGAGCTTGAGAGTGGAAAATGACAATGTTTAATGAATTTCAAGAAAATAATATTGTGTCTTCTTTACCTACCTCCTGTACCACACTTTGGTACTTGGACTGCGTAGAAACCATGTGCATTTATTAAGCCATGCAGTAAAAAAGCTTAGTTGAGATGCAATGCATTGTCAAATTATTCATGATTAATTTTGTCTCCATTAGCAGTTTTAGTTAAGAACCCTGGAAGTACAGCTTTACCCTAGCATTGTCCCGGTAATTCGCTCGCATGTTGGAAGAAGTCATTTTCTAAATTAAGCACAAGTCACTCAGAAACCAACATGCGAAACTGGCTCAGAGGATTATGTCCTGTCAAGATGAGTATCCCTTGATCATCTGATGAGCCAAAAACTGAACAAGAAAAATAAAAAAAGACAGTATGTGTAAAATGGAACCCTGACCTATTTTTGCAAGGAAACAAAGAAATCATGCCTTGAGTTGTTGAAATCTTTCAGGGTAGCTTAGAACATGTCTTAGCTGATTTATCCCCTCTTTCTCCTAATTTTTATTAATGGATAATAAATTTTATACTTCATAGAAAATAGAGTTCTCTGAGATAATTTTATACTTATAAGAAGCGAGATTTTTGTCTTTACCCCATTTTAATGCAATCTACTTTAGTGTGATATTTTTATGTCTGATTTTCACTGGCAGCTGAGTTCCCTAATTTAGAAGTTACTAGTTTTTGCAAATAGATAATTTTGATACGATTTTCCTTAACTTCCAATAATTGGAGTTACATTATCCTTAAGCTGATATAAATGTTTTCCCAACACTAACAGACAATAGAGTAAAAGTTTATCCCTGTACATAATTATTGTTCTCATCAATATAAACATCACGAAGCACTAACACTCTATATTTTCATTAATCCAATGTTAAAAGCTCCATTATATAGCTCATCTCTGTTGCATGCTGTGTAGGATTTGCATATATTGACCTGAAAATGCTCCTGATTTTTTTCAGGGTCATGAGACTAAATAAATGGGGGACGGGAGGAATTGTAAGGAATTAATGGCTTTATATTTGTTACCGATAACATTTATTACAAGTCCCATTATATTTCCTGTGTTCGGCATACATGCATTATTCACTATGTGTGTTGGGCTCTATGTATTCTGCTTTACCAGCTAGCATAGGCCCAGACCAGGCACCAGCGGCGTGCTTGCCAGAGATAACATGTGAGCTAGTTTTCACTGGCACCCCAGCTGCTTGCTGCCACTCTGTCCCTCTCCCTGCCAGCTAGGAAAGCTGCCACTGGCTGCTCGCCACAGCTCTTGGTGGCCAGGATCATCCATTCCCAGCCACAGCAACAGCGAGAGGCTGGCACAGCGCGCTGCCACCAACAGCCCACACTCACGCTTCCCTGCCCCTGGCACAAGAGACAGAAAAGAGGCCCGGGCTTGACGTACCCCTTCCAAAAGACACCAGACCTTTGCAAAGATGGGCTGCAACAGCTGAATTTAAATGTGTCCCCTACACCAGTGACACAGACTCGTAAACTGTAGGTGAAACCTAAGAGTGGGTGATTTGGTCTCTAATGGAGCCTAATCTACATTAATTACATTGTTCTGGTCAAGTACAGGGGCGAGGATCTAGTGTATCTTACCTGGATGACGATACACACTCCCAGATTTGAGCAGCCTTTAGATCCTTCTCCTCACCTTCCAGAGTAGTTAGAACACACATGCAGGGTTCACTTTCCTCTTCTCTTTCTCTGAGCAGAGATTGGAGGTACACGTATAGGCACAGAATTGCCATTTTCCACACTTCAATGCAGTGAGCTCCCTCTCCCATTAAAAGGGGGAAAAATCAGGCTTTGAAGCAACAGTTTTGGACATTCATTGAATCTTCATATTCATTAAAGCCTTTCATTCACCGTATTATCCTTTGTCTTCTGTTAACAATGTGGATTTCGCATAGAAGTGAAAGTCTACAGCGAAGTTTACTAATGTCAGATTTGTGCAGTTCTTCATGAGACTGGGATGTGGTAAAGGTGTACCGGACCCCAGGAGCCAGCCCGTGCTCCTGCAGTACTCTCTCAACGGCGGCCTCTCCTGGAGTCTCCTGCAGGAGTTCCTTTTCAGCAACTCCAGCAATGTGGGCAGGTACATTGCCCTGGAGATCCCCTTGAAAGCCCGCTCTGGCTCTACTCGCCTGCGCTGGTGGCAGCCATCCGAAAATGGCCACTTCTACAGCCCCTGGGTCATCGACCAGGTCAGTCCTTTCAGAGTTCATCTTCTTTACTTTTGTCACTTGAGCTGGACGTGGCCTTAGAGAGCATGGAGGAGCCCAGGATGGACAGTTGAGTGACTTGGCCAAGGGCACACAACAAGAGTAGATGTGGCCCTGGGCTTCCTCTCCCTCTCTAGTCCCTCGGTTGCCTAAGCTATAAACATAAATGACACAGCAGAAGGCCTGGGTCCCCTTCGTAGAGAAGACTGCCATATGGGTAGAGGGACTTTCTCAAGCACGACACAAGGTTATAATTCCTTGAAAAGGAAAGTGTGCAAATTAGTATTGGTGCCACGTGCAGTCATTCTCAAATCTTCTTCCCTGGCCTTTGAAGAAAAAAAATAAATCTCCCCAGCATCTTTATGGATTGCACTAAAGAATCTTCATGCATAATAAAACATATCAAATAGAACTCACATGCCCTGTTCACAAACAGTGGAGCCCTTGCAAAGAATTGGAGTTGAAATGCCTCAGGGTATAACTGTCCTTAAATAGGGATCTTACACAGAAAAATAATCATGTGTAAGCCCAGTTTTGCTTTTTCCAGCTTGGCAACATGTAGCTTCCAAAGGCACAATTTGGCCCACGAAGGCTCTGAATGGTTTTGTCAGTCTTTTGATTTGTTTTCGGTAGCTTCTTGCCAGATGGGCAAGCAGACGCATAAACAAGCACGTTCTGAAAGGCCCTGTGACATTATGCCAGCTCTATGGTGCCATTCTGAGCAGCTGACAGATACAAACAAACAAATAAACAAAGACAAAACTTTCCTGTACCTTAAAACTAATTATGGAATTTGGGTGTTTCTTTTAAAAAAAAAAAAAAAAAACATATTTCAGATTCTCATCGGAGGAAATATTTCTGGAAACACAGTCCTGGAAGACAATTTCACAACTTTGGATAGTAGGAAGTGGCTCCTGCACCCCGGAGGCACCAAGATGCCCGTGTGTGGCTCTACAGGAGATGCCCTGGTCTTCATCGAGAAGGCCAGCACCCGCTACGTGGTCACCACAGACATTGCGGTGAACGAGGACTCCTTCCTGCAGATAGACTTCGCCGCCTCCTGCTCTGTCACAGACTCGTGCTATGGTAAGGACTCCGTGTGCAGACAGAGGGACAGATGAGTGCGCGTGGGCACCTGTGCCTCTGCCGGGACTGTTCAGAGCCTCTATACCCGTAAGACACCCAAGAGCATCTTGAGTTCTTGAAACATTCTTAAAATACTGACATTTTCTTGAAAACATTGTGTATAAATAAAGTATATATATATTTTTCTTGTACCATGGATTGAACTCGTGACCTCGCATTTGCCAGGCAGGCATTTGTGCTGCTGAGCTAAACTCCCAGCCCAATAAAGTATATTCTTAAAGATGCCATGTGTAATTGGGTTTTAGATATTTACTTTTCAAAATATCAGAATATGAACTTTTTTTAAGCCTATAAACATGATGGCTGTTTTATAAAGTAATGAATAATAATTTGCAAATCCAATTTTGTCTTAGTATGAGACTTGTGGAATAACATGTAATTTTCCATTCATGGACTCTCATTATGTAGAAAATAGCAGGAACGAGATGCATAAATCTACCTGTGTATTTATGGATTTTTTACATCACAGATTTGAGTGATTCCTATTGCTGTTCCTTTCCATGGCTCCAGAAATCATGAAATTTTCTGTCATTCCCACTTGCTTATACTTTTTGTCATCATGAGTGGCACATCCTGGACCATTCTCGTGTTCATAAAATGTGTATGCTCTCAGTTGAGTTCAGTACGTGTGTGAATGTACACATACACTCGCACATTACACCACACAGGAGCCTATTGCAGGAGAACTAAAGAGGAATGTCACTGTACATGTGGACCCTTTCTCTGAATTTACAGACCTATCAGCATTCTCAGGGTCTCCTAGTTTTCACCACCCCATGTCACTCTCCTTCCTAGAGACCCAAACTAAAATGTTTACAAGGTCTTGTTCTGTTTTAAAATCTGGAAGGCTGAAAGTTGAGGAAACTGGTTATTTCCAACTTTTTCAGAATCCAGATGTTTGATTATCTCACTATTTTTAATCTGATGGACACACCTGAGAAGGAATCCCAAAAGTACTCCTATCTACCTCAGGAGAATCCATCAGTCCTTGAAGGCAGAGTTTAGAAAGAATATGGACAAGTGGAAAGCCCATGCTCTGTCTTTACCAGGACACTTCCTTTGAAGTGTCCTACCTCACCAAGCCAGGAAACCATTAATCCAGTCTTCTGTGCAGCAGTGCTGGTACAGAAGGTCGTGACACTTAGAGGTGGGAGAGGTGACCAGTAACTGGCTAACCCAAGGAGTTAGAGAACATTTCACAAAGGGTTCAAGTCTCACGGAGAACTTGATGGTAGGAGTGGATTTTAAGGATGGGTGGAGAAGGGATAACACCCAAACTAGGCTGGAGCATAAGCAGTAAGGCGCATTCTCCTGGCGGGTGGGAATGCTGGGAACAGGCCAGCCCACGTAGGCTTTCTTTGCACCTAACAAAGGAGAACAGAGAATGTTGATCTTGAAGACAAAGAGACTTTAAGTCCTTTGACTCTGTTACCCTTTTGAGTATAAGCAGTCAGAGCAAGGAGATGGGAATCATCTCATCATCACCCAGAAGCAGCAGCTGCCTTGAAATTCCATCTTCATGAAGAGCTCAGCCAGTCCTGGGCTTCCTGTCTTAGGCTCGCACAACCTGGTGAGTCGGGTGCAAAGGAACCATTGAATGAAGAGGAAGTGAAGGACTTGAAGGGGCAGGCAGAAGGGTTTATGCTAGACGAGGTTACGACGAGGAGATCACAAGTGCAGAGAGGCAACGTGCTTTAGGGAACTGAGCTCGGGAGCCAGCAAAGCAAAGGAAAGAAGAATCCTAGTGCATGAACCCGTCTGGCCTCCACCGGTGGGGATGAGTCTCGCACTGTGAAAAGAAATAGAACGGAGGAAGCTGATCGGCGAGGATGCAGACAGAAGAGCCCGGGTCTGAGCCCAACCATCAGGCTGAACGCAGAGGGCGGAGGGGAAAGAACAAAGTTCCTGAAATCACTTCTCAATTTTGAGGCCACAGAAACAGTGCGTGAATATTACCACCAATGAGATGCGAGGGTCAAGAAAAGGTTGTGCGTGTGTGTGGAAAACAGACGAGCAGAAGAGGAAGGAGTCCTGGGTGCAGGCTACCTTTAGCGGGGAGAGCGTCAGCTCAGCACCATCTGGCCAGCCCCTGGCACGGTGCCGAGCTCAGCGAACATTTGTTAAATGGAGAAAATCGATTTGGAGACATCAGACTGCGCAGTCTGGGCCCAGAGGTACTGGTTGGGGTGTGAATACTGTGCGCGGAGAATAGGAAGCCGGGAACAGCTCTGGAAGGACACCCCGACTGGGCTACTCAGCAGAGGTGTCAGAGTGAAGGCAAGGCAGCAGGCTCAGAATAGTGTCCCCAAGTAGGAGAAAGCACCAAGAATCCGGGAGCAGTCAGAATCTGGGCTGTAAAGAGGACAAGCACAGTGAAGGCCCAGGCCAGGCCACTGAGTCACCTGGAAACTCAGCGCAGCGCTGGGTCCCCGCTTGGGAAGCAGCAGAGCTCCTGGTGTCTGGGTCGTGGCCCAGCGGAGTTCATCAGCGCCTCCAGACCGGGGTCCCAGGCACCCACAGCTTCTAAAGGGCCCAGACGATTCCACGACTGAAGACTACAGCCTTTGACAAAGCAGTTCCAGAAGAGAAGTTGGGCCAAGGCAGTTTATAAAGCCTAACAAATGAAGGGGGAGGGACTGGGGGTTTAGCTCAGTGGCACAAGCGTGTGCCTGGCAAGCCTGAGGTCATGAGTTTGATCCCCAGTATCAGAAGAAGGAAAGAAAGGTATAAGTTGGGAGGGATGGGTTGAATGTCTCAGCAGAAGATGGAAACAAAGGTTTTTCCCTTAGGCTCGCAACCTGACCACGGGCAGTGGTACAAATTTCTTGACTTCAGCTCTGTTTTCCTCCCTCTCTGAATTCCCAGTGTGCCCCATTCCTCAGCCCAGCAAGGCGCACGGGCAGAAAGAGATTTTATAATTTCTAGGGTGTTTTACCTACACCAGCAGCAAAACTGACATTATGGGTTAGAATTCCTACAGGATGGTAAAAATTTCAGAAAGCTGCTCAGTTTTTTTTTAACTATTTAAAAAGTAACCATGAAAATAATATCATTGGGGCCAGGGATTTAGCTCAGTGACATAAGCGCCTGCCTGGCAAGCGTGCTGCCATGAGTTCAATCCCCTGTACCAAAAAAATAAATAATAATAATAATAATATTATTAGTGTGTTTTCTGGACATTAGTCATCCAATAAATATATATGTACTAGTTTATAATTATAACAAATTATAGATTACTTAAGTAACATGTTTATATATTTTATGACTGTTATTAAGTTATAAGTATATATTTTAACTAACAGCCATTCATAGAACATAACTCTATATGAAGCAATGATTTTGCAATAATTGTACCAAAAGTTTCTCATTAGGAGTGATGCAGAAAAATTTGCTGTGTTTCACTTGATCATATCCCTGTAACAGGAAAAAAAAAAAAAAGGATTTCAATGTGAAATTTAAAAATAATACACAATAATGTTCAGAGAGAAGACTAAAACTGGGAAATATTTCAACCTAAGGGAAAAAGAGCGGGGCGGGGTCAAAGTGACATGTGACTGAAGTTAAAACACACAGAAGCTCAGTCAGTAGCCCCAGTTCTGGGTCTGAGACTGGACTTACCCCAGCTGCTGTTCCTGTTGCAGCTATTGAACTGGAGTACTCCGTGGATCTCGGGCTGTCGTGGCACCCGCTGGTAAGGGACTGCCTGCCCACCAACGTGGACTGCAGCCGCTACCACCTGCAGCGGATCCTGGTGTCAGACACGTTCAACAAGTGGACCAGGATCACTCTGCCCCTCCCGCCTTACACCAGGTAGGGGTCACTCCCCACGGGGAACCGAACGGGCTCAGATTTGTGTGTCGGATTTTAGAGCAGCAGGTTTAATGCAATACGTGGTTCCACATCCACAATACTGCCGTGTGTGAATTACTGAGCCTATTTTCATAAGAAAAGCTGAAACTCGCTATTGTGGTGACATGATTCTGTGTTTCCTCAAAATTCAGACCTTCACTTACTTTTAACTTTAGTATTTTTAAAGAATAGGCGGTTCAAAAAAACAGAGTCTGCATCACTGAGATTTTCTCACTTAATGCATTAATGACCAGAACAAATTACATAAAATGGGCCCATTGGACACAAAACAGATTTAAGTGGTGTCTGTTGCTGCCAGTTATGCTGCTATAAATATAGGAGTGAACAATGCCATATAATTGAATGTAGCAAAAAAATGTGTATTAGCACCAGCATCTGTTTCTGAAATTTTATTTTGAACAGTATCTTGAGAATTGTCACCTGGAGCATTCTCTTCTATGAAAAGCAATTGTAGATGATTTATGTTTTGTGGTCTATAGAAAATGATCCTGGCTTAAGAATGTTGTCTGGTAGCAGGATGTGGTGGCACATGCCTCTGATCCCAACACTCAGGAGCCTGAGGCAGGAGAACAGAGGAGACTTTGAGGCCAGCCTGGGCTACATAGTGAATTTGAGGACAGCTGGAACTGCATAGCAAGACCCTGTCTCAAAAATGAATAAATAAATACAGTGTTGTCTGGTAAATGCTGGTGAACAAGTTGAAGCTAAATCATCTGTGGATTTACACTCCCACTTGACAGAAGCAGAGGCTTACCTTCGCCTCACGGATTGGCATTGTATGACTCTCCATCTAACCCAGGGTGCTAATCACAGGAAAGCTTTGAATTTGCAAGAGAAACTGCTGCTCCCTTCCAAGAAAATAGGGATGAGTTGCTGCTGAGGAGCTAGGAGACCGACACAGCGTGTGGAGCAGGAGTTATGGTTCGGGCTCGCTATTGTTCCGCAGCCTCCCCACAAATGAAGAACGAATAAATCTTCCTAGCAAATGACCATAAAATTCAGCCATTCGTCTAGGACATCCCTTTTCCTGGGATTATCATAAATGGGATGGTCTCCGTTACTAACAGCCTAGGGCTGCTTTACAATTGCTGGCTCAGAGGCAGGAGACTATATTAACTGTCAGCAGAGTTGCCAAGTTTAAATGAGATACGTGAGATTTTGTTGCTCGTTAAAGGTATTGCCATGCATGAATTATTAAGGCGATCTTAATAAGTAAAATAGAAAAAAAACTCCATTAAGGCAGCAGTCTTTTTAAGTCTTTATGAATTCTATGAATTATTACCCAGCTACTTGGCAGCATTTTGCAAATAAGCGACATCCTAAGATTTACTCCAGCTAGTCATTATACCCTTGAGTCTTGTACTCAAGAAAAGTAATTATTTCTCCACTTTTAATCTATCTTTTAATTGTCTCTTCCGCATACCCACAAGAATTTTGACCCCTTCAAGTGATATTTGAAAAACCTGACGTGCATCCGTTTCCTCCCGGTATCTCCTGGTGCCACATTGAAAACAGGATGCTTGTTTGCTGTGTTACCCTCAAGGCTCCTGTTGTACAGTGGTCTTAAGGGTGACACTGCCCGATAACAAAGGCCTCTGGGTAACTCAGAAAGAAATGTGCATGGGAGAAGCCCCAACCAGACTCACTTCCTGTCACGCTCTGCCGCGTGCCTGAGATCATTCCCACCGCACACCCATCCCAGAGCACATGGCCTCCACCACCAGCTGTGCATCTGTGATGTATCTGCCCTCAATCTGGAGACTTGTTTAGCATGGCGTTTCCTTGTTAAGGAGAATGTTCACTGCCTCCATGCATGGAAGTGTATGAGGACAGGCCACTGTTGAGGATTTCAGTTTGTAGCTCTTTGCCTTAGACAAACATAGGGCTGACAACTTCAGGATGTATGCTGAGCAGGAGTTAGGAGTAACCATGATCATGTGACAGGTGCTACTGTGTCCACTCGTTCTGGCATTGTTGACACAGTAGTGGTGAGAGGAAATAAACTGAAGCTGGTTGTCCAAATACTGGGATCAGGCTACTCACAGATCTGAACTGGGTCTTACTCATCAGGACCCCCTCTGCACTCACACAGTCATTCATCAAACAAATACATTTGAACTGTGAGTGTCCTAGGCCAACCTGAAGGCTGATCTTATCTCTGCCTCAAGGAGCTGTTAGTTCAGTAAGAGATGGAGTAATCGCTGAAGTATAAAATTCAGTTGCACCAGCTATGGAGAACGAATAGATGGTACTGTAGGATTGGATACCATAAGGATATTTGACTTAGTCGGGGAATGCTTCCTTGAGCAAAGAATAATTTAGCCAAGAGAGGCAGAATGAGCAGCCTCACAAAGTGAAGAGTACAGGTGAGGAGTTCCAGATAAGGACAGTGGCCCATAGTGAGAGGAAGCAGGGGCGTCTGAGGTACTCACCACATGGGTCAGACAGAGGGAGAGAGAAACGTGTGGGATGGTGTGAGGCCCAGACGAGAAGGCTGTGCTAGAGATCAGAGGACTTCCGGTTGCAGGAACATTGAAAAACCTGTTAAGGTGTTCAGAAGTGAGGATGCTTGACCAGAGCCGCACTCAGAAACGCTTATTCTAAGTGAAAACAAATTGGAAATGATAAAAGCTAAAAAGGTGGGCACACTAGATGCTGTAACCGAGGTGTGGCGGTGAACCTGAAGAGCAGAGGCGGAGCCCAGGCGGCACAGGCGCAGTAGCGTTGACTTGGGGTGCATGGAGGTGGGGGCTGCATTGCTGGGCATAACTTGCTGACTTCTGAGGCACCAAACCAAGTGGGTGCTGGTGCTTCCCACTGGGCAGTGAACCCGAGACTAAACACACAACACCTCACCCCGTGCTCCCGATGCTGCTGCGTTAAACCCTAAATAACTGGGGCAGATAAATTGGTTATCTTTATTGCTCAGTGAAGTTAGATGTTCCTAGGAAAAAGAATAAGATCTACAAAAACAAGAGGAAAAAGCACTATGGTATAGAAGAGGCTCTGCCGTGAGCTTTGCAGCAGTGGTCTTCAGGTCTCCGAGGCTGTTTCCTCACCTGATGCAGGTGCTTTTTACCATGGGAAAAAAATCTAGTAATTGTTGCATGAAAATGTTTATGCATTGTAAAGACTGATAGAAGTATAAACCATTTTTAACTTTGAGTCAACCACGTAATCACGCTTGTTAACCACAGCTCACGTTTGTTACCAGATTTTTACCTTTAGAATCTTCCTAAACCCAGCCTTGCTTAGCAAGCATGGGCCCTTGGCGAAGGCATGGCACTGTGGAACTCCTTGTCCTGGACATGGCTACTGCCTGTTGAGGAAAATTAGAAGCAAACCTGAGAAGCAACTTCAAAATAAGCTCTGCTCCCTGTAAATTAGAGCTGCACCAAAGATTAGGCTAAAAATTCTGTAGATGTTGAGAAATGGGAGATCATGTCAAACACCAGAGTTAGAGAGTTAGAGAGGGTCTTGTGGGAGAGATGGATCCTGGAACTGAAACGTGGCTAGAGATTAAGTGGGCAGATAAGAACATTCTAAATCCAGGGAAGCAGGTGAACACAGCAGGAATCTGTGGACGTGAGCCTGGGCGGCAGGGGAGTGGCGGAGAGCTCTGGAAACCGTTGTGCCACTGGGTTAATTTACAGTAAATATTACAGCAAGGCAGAGAAGTTCAGACTTACAGGAAAAATGAACTATGGTATATTTTAAGCTCCAGATAGTCTTCCAAGAGGAAAGTTGCTAGACTCAAGAGATTCTATGATAATTACCTGTCAATGAAGGCAGAAAGTTTACCCTGGGCTGTAGCCAGCATGGAGGGCATAGACACTGATTTATGGAAACTTTCAAAGAAATAATTGATCAAACTCAATCGCTAGCTTCTCCTTCTCCATTACACACATCAAAATATATCTCTAACCATATGGGGCCTGGCAGGTTTGTGAGAAGGGGAAATGTAGAACTCGAGTTGATTGCAAGAGAAACAATATGGAAAATTCAGGCAAATGATGCCAACTTAAATGTGATCCCTGGAAGTGTATGTGGAAATATCCATTTGCTGCAGAAATGGAGATCAGAGCCCCAGGGAAGGTAATAAGCTTCGGAAGCCTGAGGACAGAGGTGCTAGACACTGCTGTTAAACTGGACCTGTTCTCCATAAAGGAGCTTTGAAAAAGGAAAGAGAGGACTCCTAAAGGTGATGCAGAATGGGTAGACATAGCTAATAAGAAAGTGGAGAGATTCACTCAAGGAGATAGAAGGGTCAAACTAAATGGTTCCCCGAGAAGAGGCTATAGGACAGGAAGAGGTAGCCTCAGTGATGTCAACTACAGAGAAGAAAGAGTGAAAAAAAAGTTTTATAACAAATTTACTGGATTTTTTTTCAATTAGAAGATCATCAATGACCTTCAAAGGACAGTTTCAGTAAGCTACTGGAAATCAATACAGCCTATCAGAACCAGAATCCATGGACTTCACCACTATGTTAGTGTTAAGTCATTGTTGCTTGCATAAGAAATAATTGTCCTAGGAGAAATAGGAGTGGAAGAATTGGGAAGCATTGAAAAAATAGGAAGACACCAAAGTCAGTTTCAGACCGCTTAATCTGAATCTGCCTCCTTTTCTCTGCTAACCCCTAACTAAAAATAACTGGCAGCTCAAGTGGCGCGGAATGTGAAATGCCACCTGAGAATTAGGGTGGATGGCAGGTCAGGTAACTCAAACCCACTGAGGAAAGGAAGGGAGGAGTGGCCACGGGAAGGGCAGGCTCATTTTAAGTCACAGTTTGAAGTCGATCCATTTCTTTTGCTAGTCCTAATGACATAGCTGACTCCTTTAAAGATTAACCATGACACGGTGGAAGCCTCATGGTTTCACCCTTAGTCTGGATGCTACTTAATGTTTGCAAGAACTTCGGGGGGGGGGGTGTTAGCACA